ACATCATAAAAATGGCTTACTGTTGTTAGTTTGCTACACAGATAGTTTACCATTGCATTAAAAGACGATGCCAACCGAATGGATTCCCAATGCGAACCTGAAGCCATTTATACTGTTGCCGTAATAACGTTATATAATAATAATAATAATAATAATAATAATAATAGTCAACTCAAAATGTGCGAACTAATTGTTCTACTCGTTTGTTTTTGTTATTGTGTCGCTGCTGATAATTTACCAGTTGTCATATCCTGGCTAAGACCGTCCTCACTTTAATCATCATCGTAATGAAAGGACGCTCTGAGTAGCTAAAATAAATAAAGCGAAAAAAGGAACAAATAATATTATTCATTCTAGGAAGATATTACAAACAAATAGTCTGAACTGACTTAAACGGTTGCCATATACTTAGCGATGCCCTGCTTTTAGACATAATCAAAGAAGAAGAAAGAGATGTTGCAGAAAGCCACATTTTGCTTATTGCTCGTAAGTTGCAACATGCAATCGACTTCATTCCTGTTGAAAAGCTTTTTTCAATGTTTCGAGGCCGCCTGACAGCAGGGAATCTCGGATACTCCTAGTTGTGTTTAATGTATATGCGCTTTCCTGACCGGTGTTTTTGCCTTTATCTATTGCACCTCGTTTACAGCCAATAATCAATTCTATCTAATTTGGTTCAGTATATCGCTATGACGCATCGGTCTAGCTTCATGCGGTACGGAGGCATATCCAAAATAGATATTCAGGTATTAGCTTTGGGGTCAGCCAGACTTGGACAAAGCCCGGTGCGTTCCAATCAGAACAACACTAAGGCTTCTCCTTTTAAGGTAATCGACAATTTGGCTCATCAACGCGGCGGAGCTGGCCTTAACTAACTCGAGTGGGGGTTTAGTGTAAAGTGGGGGAGGGCGGCTTGATGGGGGTTGGTTATGAGTTCGATTGTGTGCCCAATGGATTAACTTAGGTCAGTGATACAGAATTACACAATTACGCAATGGTTAGCTAAGGTAAAAAACCGACAACAATATTACTTGACAAGTAAACAGTAGTAAGCGTGCATACTATACTCTAAGGCGCGTCACGAGATAATTATACCTATCTCAATGACGTCGGTGCATTTTATTATTATTATCTGTTTTACCTAAAAAAAGTGTCAGTGGTAATATTTGAACCTGTGATTAGCAATACAAGTTAACGGCATAAATTACACATCGGTGGTTCGTAAACGCTTTTGAAACTGTCTGGTTTATTCAGCTACGTACGTCCCAGTGGTAATGCGACTATTGACGAAAATAAACAGACTGAGTGCCACACGAAGCGACGCGGTCAGCGACTCGTGTCGGACCTTCCGACAACCTCCAGCTTCACAACGAAACGCGAAGTCTACGATGTCCTCAAATCATGTTCATATTATCGATTGGAATAAGTGTCTCGCCATTGTCACAGGATATGTTTGTTCTCGCAATGGAGGATTTCTCAAAAGAATTAGAACAAAAATGCAATGCCTCCTCAATAGTGGGGTTCCGCATCTTTGAGCAGTCTCAGGAATTTGGAATCGAAGTTCATCTATGCGTACACATATACAAATGTACGAACAGACATAGACACGTGCGCTACCAAGGAAATGGAATATTTCCACGACCCATTAGGCGGGACCTTCGGTAGAAAAAATACGATGCCTCTCGCCGCTTGCCATTAGCTATTATACTTTGGCAACAACTGATCAATTAAGTTGTTGTTTGCACAATTATCTAATGAGCCCGGTGGCTTGAAATGATTTAAGCATTTGACCGTGTCAGTATGCACGACCCCATTAACCGGCAACCCCATTCAATGTTGTTTTTACGCACTGCTGCTTGTAGGTAAGTATTTAATATTATTGCTGTTCTTATTATCCAGTCCTATTCCGGTTCTATTGGACAACTCAGATCTGCTTTGATAGTCAATGCACATACGTCCTATAGTGTTGTCATATAGTTCAAGTAAATCCAAAAAGCATTCGCTTCGGCCATTGTACCTGTATCAGTAGTGCTCGTATTATAGGCGGCCATTTAATTTGGCCCCGACATGGTGGTCGATTTTGTGGATATTTTGATCTCTGTATAATGATCGTCGCAAGCATCTATGTATCATCATCGAAGGAGCAGGTCTTTGCTCTGGCTTTGTGAAAGGATGGGCAAAAGAAACGTTTTGAAGACAGCGCAAGTCACAAATGCCCCCTATTGCTACTGCTATCATTAAGGATCTCCAGCCTTTTAGATGACCTCCTACGTAGTAGAACCATTTCACCGACTGTTCTTCGTATCTGCTTGTATTGAACCCGCTGCTAACTTCCCTACGTTGGTTCTGAGGGCCAGAGCTTTCACGAACGCAATGTTGTTTATCATATACTGCTTCACCATCAACATAATCATCATTTGTTGGTGCTGCTACTGCTGCTGGGCACTGTTCTTCTTGTTATTGCGATGTGTTTATATTGAAAGAGAGAAAAACAAAATAGAATGCAGGTGATTGAAACACAGGCAAAGCCCAGAGCTAGCCCAAAGCCGATGCTACGTTTCAATATCAGAACGTAAGTCTCAAGATTTTCTTGTTAAAAAAAACTCAACCTCGATACCGCGTTGGTCATATAGTCCGTATTCTAGTTAGTAGATCAACCAAATACTAATCATGTCGTGTACCCTAATGCGGTCTTCAGTTTCTGCACAGGCAAAAGCAAACTTCTGTCAAAAGGCGTCCTCATCATTCAACTCTGCATTCCCTAAACAATTATTAGCTAAACAGGGAAATTGTCAATAAGTATTTTCATGTTTTTACATATTTACGTAAGCGGAGCTCTTTACGTACATTCAATGCAATCTTTCCTTAAAAAAAATAATAAGCTAACCTGATCACAAAAGTTATTTAAAGAAATTATTCGTTATCCAATATTATAGACGAAATTTTAGCCTCGGCAACATGATTTCAGGACTCAAACGGCAAGTTTCTCTTATGTTCTGAGTCACATAAAAAAGAATCATTTTTATTTAGCACAGCTAAAAATGAAGCAAGTAATACTGCAATGTATACAGAAGCATGGTTTTTATCGGTGCAGATTTCCTCAGGTTCAATTTCACTATAGCACAGTCTGATAAGCGTGAAAGCCGCAACTTCTATTTACGGATACTGAGGAAGATTATTTTTTTTTTAGTACAATGAAAATTAGAGAGACGATTGAAGATAAAACTCCGCATTTGACAACACTGCTTATGATTCAAAGCTATCAGCGAATAATCCCAATGATTAGCCATTTATGTCAGTGAACGATCAGCACTAGGCTAAAATGCTGACGCAATAATCCGCAACAGTCCTTCTTCAAAGTACAACAATTCTTCACTGTTAGATAAGATCTGTTTCAGTCGCATTTTTGAATCAATTAGATCAAAGGTAGTACAGGGAACAAGCAGCAACCCTGCGTGCGTGAGAGATTTCGAAATAATTATTGTTACTTTAAGGTAGCCGTCTCGCGGGCAAATTGAACGAAAAATCGAACTATTAACATCGCTCAAGTTCTATAACCTAGCCTTAAAGAAACAAGGTAGGTAGGTAGGTAGGTAGGTAGGTAGGTAGGTAGATAGGTAGCTATAAGTTCGCGAACACGTCACCGAGTCCGAATGACGGAGCTATGAAATAAATGTAATCATCGCTTAGTAATATGAAATTGGAAGGACGGCTTTCAAGGACTCTCCTACAGTAAGTACTCGTTCGTGGCTATTTTTGTCATACACATCAAAAAAGGCTATACTTCAGTGTTATGACAACAATAAAAACTCGCGATTGATTTGTTTTTTTCAAGTGAAAGATCCATGAAGATAATAGTCAGTTGGCATCATAATTTTCTCTGGCTTGACGAAACAATATTGTTTGTAATATATGGACCCGTTATGGCCCAAAGCGGATCTTATTTTACAGATTTCTGGAAGATAACAGCCTTTAAAATTTAATACATTTGGGTAAAATAAACAAAGAAAGGCCTGTTGTTTATTATATTTACGCAGCGAGCAAGTAAATATAGAGGAAAGTTACTAAAAAGGGCTGGCATCGATCTCTTTCGACTGTAGCTATAATAACGCTTTTTTTAAATCGCCAAAATAGCTTTTCTCAAGCAAAACTGCTCTGAATTATTCTATTTGACGCTGTTCAGGTTAGAATATATATATATATATATATATATATATATGTATATATTCTAACCTGAAGCTCTGACGCTTAATATGAGTTGTATAAATTAGAAAGAGAGACATTTTTCTCTCGGTCTAATAACAGCAGACGAAGCACAATATCTAAATTGCAAACGACTTCCCGATCGGTAGACCGCACTTGAATGGTGTGACCATGTTGATGTATGCTTGTTTTTGTTTCGTCAATAGAATATAGCTTCTCTCATTGGGGCTTGGAACGACCGCAACGGTTTTGGTTTCCGTGCCTTCTTTCCACTTAGACCTAATTCGGATGAGCGGAAAATAATTTATGCATAGTGAAAAATTTTATTATATATGTGTATATGCTTTTTTCAATGGACGGTCGGCAATCGTATGAGCTGATGTATGGTATTAAGTTTGAATATGCTCTCATAGGGATCTCAAAAGCTTGTTGTCCAACAGTGACGGAATACGTACAATGCATTGACAAACTGAAGCGTGATATTCTCCGAAAATCTTATCAATGAATAAGCTAGTAAGAGATTGGATTGATTAATATCGACTTAATTAGTGAAACGTGGGTCCAGCATTGCCTTTGAATGTTTTCTCATTTCTAACAACTTGTGCTCGTACATAATTCGCAGACGACGAGGTTACGAGACACAATATAATTGGTAAAAGGCGCACGGTTATATGCAGTTTTATGCAGAGCGATGATAGTAATATATGCTAATGCTTCAACAAAGTTATGAGAGTAAGAACATACGATCTATGAAGCTACTTTTGCATATGTGACCCAAATACGGCTTTCGTACGTACCTCATTCCAAACGGGTTTTAAGGTCCGCTGTTTCGTCGTAGATTTGCAGACGAGCTCATCATCGATATTGATCGTCACGTACGGATCGATGGTGCTTTGGCTTTTGCCGAGCGCCAGCGCCGCCGGGTGGCGCGTGGTCAGATCTGTCGGCTTCAGGTCGACAGCTTCAACCAATTTCACCTTGATAATTCCGCTGAACGGCATTATGAATGAGATGGGCCGGCTTTCCAATCGACACCAACAAACTGGCCAAGTCGAGCGTCGGCCGAATAAACGCGACCCCCTGTAGCGGTGGCGCTAGTGGTTAACACGCTGTAGTATGAAGAAGCGACCGACGTCTTGCCGTACGTTGACTAGTCCTTCCCAGGTTAAACAACTTGCAATTGTAGTGGTAGTGGTGCCAGCTGGGGTATCCTTTTTTTCGTTTTTATTGTCTAGTTGTGCTTATTGCCCTTGTTGTTGTGGTTGTTGTTGTAGTAGTAGTTGTAATATTGTGTTTATTAAAATTTATTGTTATCAGGATTATCCTCTATGCTTGGGCCGATATCACTCATGATATTCCTTACGCTACTTCAAAAAGCGATACTTCACTCTTATAACTAGAAGGATTTACTCGCTTCGGAGCGTCGCGAATAAAAATAACACAACTCTCTTAGCACACTCTGTCTAACACTTATTAGCATGCACGCACTGTGGTGGACAAGCACGCGCTAACAGCGTTTCCACGCTGTCGTAACACGTCGCTGATCAGATCTAACAGGGGAACGCAGGCTTTGCAGAGAACAACCCCACCGCCGAGGGGTAGTCAGCGAGGCACCGTGCCACTGGCGATCGGGTCACTCACTTGTGGCTTCGGTGATTTAACGCCGAGAGGCCGTGTGTTCGCTACTTCTACCGTTGTCCTTGCCTTTCTCCTCCCCTGTGCTTGCCTGTCTGTCTCGCGTCCAGCCCTTCTGCGCGGCCTGTCACGAGCCCGAGTCAGGCATGTCTTGATCGGTACCTTCTGCACAAGGCCAGATCCTGATAATGAACTAGATAGAGGACGAGCCAGATCGATTAACCGACACACGCACACGAAGTGGCACAACACAAATAAATTTCCTTCCGCTTTTTACTATTTCTTGTCCGCTGTCAGGACACCGAATGAGGAATCGGCTATGCACCTTGTTTCCGTAATAGCTTTACTAGACAATTGAACAGAGTGGCTTTCTTGGACTCTTCCCTGCGATGCACCGTTTCAGTTGCCCATTAAATCTCTTCTATGAATAATGGTGATGGCGTTGCTTGCTTTGGTGGCTATACTTGGAGTGCCAGCATACTCAAAATGATGACGAAAATAAGGCAAAGGACGATCATTTTGAGAGATTTGAATACTACTCAAAATCAATAGCTTAGTCCGCATACGGCCTAATGCGGCTGAGGTATGCTTGAAAGTATCAACGATGTGTAGAAGCAAAGGAATCCGAAACAGTTTTCCTAAGGTTTGTGCTAAGCGTTGAATTTCGTGCGACTTTCGAGCTAGTTACACACCCGCCCACCCACAGAGATGCACCGTATCGTAACGCACAGAAGACTCATCTGCCCTTTGAATATCAGGCAATAGCTATTCGAACGTTTATAGGCGATTCGATGAGTGTTCGATAACTGAATTGGGCCTTCGATAGCGAATTTAATGATACCTAGTACAGGACACAATGAGTTAAGTACGAGATCATTTTCGGCGAATTATCATTCATTTTATGGATACTTCTGATGGTAGCGCGAGCTTTGTTGCAGATCTCCAGTCTCCTTGCCTAGTAAAAATCCACAGGCCTTCCTCACCGCGTCGAAGCTAATCCCACTCCCACAATAAAGTTGATTGTTTGCTTGACTTGTTGCGTTCCTTCGAGCAATACTAGATAAACGCTCGTGATAATTTACTACGAGATACAATAGGTACTAGTGGCCCAGTATGTGGCTGACATAAAAAGGAAGATCGACCGCTGGCTTCCAATGGCTTGAGATTGCGAGAAAAGAACTATCTGTTCCTGATTTTAGCTTTCCCCCTCTTGTTCTCTCTCTAACACACCGTTGCTTTCTATTTCCTCTGTTTATCTTCCACACCGTCTTCTTCTCGTTGCTTTTTGGATAGCGTCTCAATGACGATGACTACAACGACGTCGACGTCGCCACCTGTATCTATGAATTAAGGTAGTCTCTGAGCTCGTGCTACGCCTGATGCTATTACAGTCGCTTTGATGGCCGACTGCTGGCAGCCGCAGGCGGGAAAAAGTTTGCCAATTGTCGGCGGTAGAAGCGGCTGCGCTCGTGGCAATGATGGTAGAAGCAGCGTTGACGATAATGCAGAGCCTCGCGCCGCGCGTATGTGGACGGCTGGTTGTGGCGCACGACTGATCAATCAGAGCGGTCTGCTGCGCGGTTGGCGTCTGATCCGATTCGATGTCTAGTTTCGATCCACAATACCATCAGCACGGCAATTTCGACAACATCAAAATTCGATAAGCCGATAGATTTTTTGATTGGCGAATAATAATGATGACGGAGAAGACGGGGTCTGTTGATGAACACGAACACTGGCGAGAACATTCACTGACTCATTTATTAACTAACTGATTGACTGACTAACTGCAATCAGCCAGCAAAACATGGTCACTCGCTCGCTCGTTTACCAGCAGCAGCAGCAGCAATGCGATAGCGGCAATCGGAGGCTACTAGCGCAGCAGGTTAGGTCAGACGGTCGTCTCAGGCACCAGCACAGGCAGACCAATCAGACATACTGAGGAGCTGGCACACTCGCACGCCACGGTTAGTGTTTCCTACTACACTCTCACTTGGTACGTCGTAGATATTAGAAGCTATTAGCAGCACGAGTGGTTGTTCAGCTCTGAAATTGAGTTCTTTTTATTCTGATCAGGGTCAGTAGACACTCGGACTCGGCAGGACCGTGGCACCGTTCGTTGTGGGACTGTTGTTGCTGCTGCTGCTGCTGCTGCCTGTGGAGTAGGCGGTAGGTCGGTGGCCCGCAGTGGCTTCCTGCTGCTGCTGCTGCTGCTGCTGCTGCTGCTGCTGCTACTGCTGCTGCTGCTGCTGCTGCAGAGGGGGGACAGCCGGGGGAGATCGTCGCTGGTTCTCTTCTCGTAGAGCCTCGTCGGCGATGGCTGCTACTGCTATGTCTGCGGCGGCTCACGTTAAACGGCAAGTCATTTCCGCCAGCAGTGGTCATGGCTGAAGCTGAACAGGACATTGGAACATCATTGTGCGCTCGGACTGAAATCACCTGCCGCCAGCACTACTACTGCCACCAGCTGCCGTCGTTCGCTGATGCTAGCTATCTAGTTTGCTTGATTACACGTTGATTGTGGCGTTGATTTTGAGCTCGATCACCGTCGCCACTGCTCTCTCGGTGTCGGAGTTTCGACTGGTAGTAGCAGCGGCAGCAGCAGCAGCAGCATTTAGTCGCTCGCGTAGACACCACCACGAGCAGCAGCAGCAGCAGCAGCAACGCCACCACTCTCTCGTAGCCACAGCAGAGAAGAAGAGAAGAGCAGGACAGAACAAAACACTCACAGCACAGCAATAGCACTCGCGCTCTCGCGGGCTCACTTCACAACACGTCTCGCTCAGTGGTAGAGCACAGCCAACTTGAGAACCTCTTGGAGTGGGCGCAGTTGGTTAGGAACCCACCAGGGGGAGCTGGCGGCGCGTTTAGCGACCGGCGGCTGGTCTCTCGCAGCAATCTCCCTCCTGGTGCCGCCCTATAGCGTCCTGCTCTCATCCCAGCAAACACCTACAGCGACGGCGGCGGCAGCGGCGGCGGCAGTAGCAGCAGCAGATTCACACATCACATACGTATAAAACGAAGGTGCGCACATACCACGACGGCGAACGAGGGCACGCACTCAGACAGCAGCAGAGCACAGCAACTAGGTCAGTCCGTCCACCTCCGAGCAGCAGATCCCAACACGGTCCCAATCAGCGATCACCGACAAAGAGAGAGGAGCAAGGAGCTAGCGCCGGGCGAACGGGGCTTCCGCTGCTGCTTTCCTTTTCCTTCAGTCCTGTCCTGCCTACTCTCTTTCCCTCTTTTGTCACCGACTTCTTTTTTAGGTCTGTCTCCGTCTGTTCAGCAGCGGCGGCGGCAACGGCGGCAACGGCGGCAGCAGCGGGCAAGCAAGCAAGCCTAGTAGGGCATAGCACTTCGCGCAGCAGACAAAATAGAGGCAGTAGCGCTTTTTGCACAGCCCCACCGTAGATTGAGTAGCCGACCAGCCAATTGTTCGTTCCCTCAATCGTTCGTTCGCCGTTGGGTTCGTGCATCTCCATCTGTCTGTCCGACCGCCTGTTGGCCTGTCTGTTCTGACGCCCGACCGCCCTCGCGCCCTTCTGGCGGAGGCGCCTTCGCTTGTTATCTCGTTCCTTCCGCGCACGGCCTCGCTCACTCTCGACGACTCACTTATTGTCCAACAACAACAACAACAACCACGTCAACGAATTAATAACCCATCATCGAAGGGGGCGGGGGGTTCAACGACGGATTACTGATGCAACGACTGTTGAGCGATTGACAAACTTCTCGGATACCTGGATCTCGTAGGTTCATGTCGTGTCAATTGCCGCGGAAGCAGCGTGAGGCGCAGCCGGCAAAGCCGATTCACAACAACGGCGGCTGCGTAGTAGTAGCAACAGTTATCGTATTAACAGTATCAATAACCTGGCTATTTTTGCAAAAGTAACATTGGTAAAGAACAAAATAAACTCTGAAAGTTAAAGAAATGAGCTCGGTCGAGTCCAGCTTGCCAAGTTGCTTTGTAGGCCAGGTTCAAGTGGACAAAGCGCACCAAAGCTGTTTAACAATATAAACTTCACACGAGTATATAGGAATAACACCAGAGAGCAAAAATAAATTCATTGTAATTCGTTCGTAATTATCGTTGTGATTAAAAAAAAGGCGCACAAGCGATATATGTAGACAAGGCGTAAAAGATGTCGCTTCATAGTTGAGTCTTTCAACGGAAGAAGCTAATACTGAAACATATAGTTGTCAAACGCAATCAGCAAAACAACCAGAACGCTGTAAACAGTTTGCGACAGTTCATCTTACCTGATATGAGCGCGTTACGATTTTGGACTAAATGATAGTACATCAAAGGGCAACAGCCCAACTGCTCCGTCTTATCTATGCCTTGGGTTGTCGTTTCGTCCGCGCCTTACTCACATTAATGAGAACTTGCTAGTTCTACCTTTAGGACATTTGACCATGAAAGTTGTACTTTGTTCTAAAATGTACCCGTTAGTCTTATTCGAAAACAAACGCATAAAATAATTAAAAGCTATGCAGCCTGACTGAACTGGGTCTAAAGAAGCCCTTGATAATTTCATGAGTATGAGCATGAGCATGAGAACGTCGTAGGTATTCGGCAGGACGAGAGTCATGCTATTCTATAGTCGAATTAAGAAACGTGTCAAGTGAGCGTTCGCTACCGTGCTGTGGGAAAATTTACCTTATTTAGTAGGGAGATCATTTGGAAACTTGAAAATATGTACGCTAATCATCTGCGAATACAGCAGCGGATGCGAAAATATTTAGTGGGAAAAAAGGACGACTTGGTCATCGTTTTCGGCGCCCTCTAGTGGCCATTCCCGATTTCTATATTGGGTTCCCTGATTCCAATACAGATTGAAAGCGATTAGAAAAAACTGCGTCCCAATCCCGCGCGAAACAGCTTAATGAAGAAGGCCTCTGCTGTACTGGGTTAAGATTGTTCGCAAATTCCGAAAGGGATACAAGCAAGCGAATTTTGCATAGTCTAGTTTGCGTTGTCTAAATCCTCTTGGGTACAGAGCAGCAGTAACTCTATCTATTTGGGTGTCCAACATCCATGCTAGAATTGGTTATATGTCAGTTCGGCGTTCACTCTTCAGTACCTGCAACTTTGCACGTTACTCAAGTGGCTGTTCCACAAAAACTGTGGAGGTAACTCTTGAAGAAAAGTTCTGCTACCCCATTCTCTCAACAAGCGGAATGGTGGAGGCCAGTCCCAGCGACCATGAGCAAATGGGTTGTTTACGTGACAAACAAACTAGCTACATATATGGCTCAAAGACGAAGCTAAATTTGGAGCAGCAATGACGCTGATTAGCTAAATGAGACAGAGTGATCTACGTCTACTCCTGAATCGCTTTGATATCCTAAAAGCTTTCTGAGTACTTTTGGATTGATCCGAAACAATGTGTTGAGGAACAAACGACCGCTGCGCTTAGGAATTCTATAAAAATACAATTTACTTTGAGACTACTAAAGTGTCGATGAAATGTTCTGTTGAGATACCTTTTGGGTTTCATTTATATTTAATATTATTATTCGACTAGCTTGCCTGCCATATGTACGCCACAGGCCTATACGCAAACAAAACAGGGAGCAATGAACGTTCCGTTCCTTGGGTAGCAACTCAAGCTGGGAGCTTAGGTGTAAACGCGAATGGAACAGGTAGGTGTTAGAAGCAGTCTTGAGACACGGAATGATCGTGCACACCGGATATGCGAGGTATAATCAGACCCGCCGACTGTAACTATAGTAAAACGAGTAAGCAATTCACTGCCCATCTTATCTGTTGCACTCGGTTGTTGTCGGCAATTTTCGTAAGACTCGCGACCGCACGGGCGAATTCGGATTCGCCCACATCTACTAGGCGTCATATAGCGATGCCTTCGCAGCAGCGTGCAACATATGTACCGTGTTTGGTGCGCACCCGACAATGACAGCCTTCACAATACTTTTCGCCCCTATATCTTCCAAACACCTATACACAGACGTATCGGGGTTTCGTTTACCGGTCACCATCCGGCATTTGATTTCAGCAGTGATATTATGGTACAGTCAAGGTAGCCAACGCACCTTGCCATGTTATTGAAATGCTCAAGTGTGCGTGTGTTGTGTGATCTGCATGTACTTCCGCCAACACCAGCTACCACGATAATAACTTTTTTCCATATTTACACAGCTACCAACCTCTCTCACGCTTTCTGCCGCACGTAACGAATGGCAATACGCAAAACACGTTAACTTTCCTGCAGTACTGTATCGTTGTTGTGCTCTATATCTTCGTTCTGTGCATAGGCCGTGTTATGTATACGACGCAGCTATAACTTATACTGCTAGTATCTAATGTAAATAGAGAAGTTGTTCTTGTTGTTGTTATTGTTGTTGTTGTTGTTGTTGTTGTTGCTGTTTACAAAAATTTTCCACAAAGAAAACGAAAATGCCAACGCCGACAAGTGGGCGCCGGCGTGTTCGAATTTCCAGTAGCGGCAAAAACATCGAAACATTAACAAACAGGCACCGCGCAACTCTTGCTGCTGCTGCCGCCGCCGCAGCCATAGTAATAGCAGAACCGGGAGCACCTGGCAAACGGAGACAGTGAGCAGAAGCTCTCCGCGGCGAGAGTCGCTACCGCCGCTCCTCTACTCCCTGTAGTTCTACGGAAGCGCTACGACCAGCGGCAGCCCCTGCGAATCTCGCCGTCGACACCGACAACTAGCTATTGTTGTTTATCACGATCATGGCGGTCAGGACGGTAATGATGTTCAACGGCGAATGTTATTCTTCCTTTTGTTATTTGCCTTTAGCGACAGCGGCGGCGACGGCGACGGCGGCAGCGGCGGCGGCGGCGGCGGCGGCGGCTGCAGCAGCCGCTATGGGAGCAGTGGTCGTGGAGGCAGTTGCTAGGCCAACAATGGCGCTGACGACAAAAACGGCGACAAAACACCGGCAGTCGCTTAGAAGGGTGGGGAATGTTGACCGAGTCATTCAATTATTCGCTAAGTGAGTGTGCTACTAACGACTGAACGGCTCACCGACCAGTTCGCTACAAGAGCAGCGGTATTGATTGTGGTGGTGATCGTTCGGTCAGCGTTCTATGGGTATTTGCCAGTCGGCGGGCCGGCCGGTCGGTCGCTCGGTCGCATATCCATCCCCCCCCCCCCCCCACCGCCCATCGGCTAGCGGTGCCGGCAGTGGACGACACCAAACCATCGCTGCCCTTTGTCGCAGGGCAAGAGTGTGCGGTCACCATACCGCTGCGGTTGGCGATGGTGCTACTAGCAGCCCGGTTTTATTTGATACGCACAGCATTGGGCAGCTTTTTCTCTTTTCTGCAGCACCGACAACGACGACCGCAGTGGTGCCTGCGGCGGCGCTAACAATCCGCACAGTCCACGATGTATACGCGGCTAAATACACAGACGGAAACATGGACGGACGGTAACTGTATCAGTATGAATAATGCCAGTTAACAAATGTGTTGATTAACCAGTCTTTCTGCCTGTCTTCCTACCCGTTACCGTTTGCCACCTATCACCGTCAAAAGAGCCGTAGCGGACAGCGACAGCCCGCCAATAGTGAGAAGATAAAATGGGCCAGATTCAAGCGCCATCTATTGGCACGTGTCAGAAACCTACGCTGTCAAACAGGACGCGGGTACGCTCGAAGCAGGCTGACGAGCGCTTAACGTCGGATGAGGAATGACTTGTCAGCTCATAGTAATTGCGACGGTTTACATGACAGCTTGCTTTATATCTGTCATAGATATATTAGAATGTCATGGTTAAACAGGCCTGTAGAATTTTTAATTAACGGCATTTGGGTATGGACTGGCTATAGGTAAATATCGTTGGTTAATGAAAAACCCGCAATTGTATTCTAATGTCTCTTCTGTCCTGCATGCAATGAACTTAACTGGTACGTGCAACTAAGTGTACTGCAACTCGAGAGGCCTGTCTATAGCAGCGCTATATTACAAACCGATTCTTTTGACGGATGCAGTATGATCTGTGCCGACAGAAGAGACAACGGAACTTAGAATAACAACAGTAGTTGCCTGTCTCACCAAGACACTAAACCCACATCATTACTTGTAATATACCATGATGTTAAATGCACAGAAAAGAAGAGCTTTAACGTAAAATTTACGTTTAGCTATTTGTGCAGAAATTGATAACTAGAACATCAGGTTGGCAGATAAAATCATAGAATAATTTGTCACTACTAGAATTTATCTAGAAGATTATTTTAACATTTAACATATACTAGACAAAAGTGTCCCTAAGGATCTTACCTTTAACCTTTGAAGGGTATTTTTTTCTGCATCGATTTCATAGAAGTTCCTCTATACTATTGGATAAGTGTTGTCTCAGAAACTAAGCGTAGGGCTAGATTAGACAGATCTATATGGCATAGTTGCTATATATAATATGAAAGAATGAGATAAAGATGGATGTCCTTGTTGCCATTATAATGCGAACGTGTTTTATCATTAAAATTAAGTGTAGCGTTTAGTTCTCACTTTGTAGCAAAACGTGAACGTTCTTGGCGTTTGAAATGTATTCATATACCGGGAGTCCACTGTAGATGTCCACGAATCTGTGGGAATATACGCTTTTTTAGCTTTGCTGAACGGCTGATATTTTTGTAATAAATGTCCATATTTATGCAGGTAAAGCTTACGGAGAGTTTATTATTAGTGTGACGTGCCACGGCTGAAAGTTCAAAAAGCGTTATGAACGTGCCATGGATTTTGAATTTAATATGAGACCTTGTCGCGTATTGTTTCCAAATGAAACAATTTTTAATATATCTCTAAGATACACTACATCGGTCTACCATTAACGTCATCACGACTGACTTACATTAGGTAAAAATATTTCTCGTAGGTAAGACTATGTTTTCGATGGGGGCAAAGTTGCTTAGTGTGTCAACTCTATAACTGACTCATCCGCTTACCTATTTTTCTTTATAATCTTTTTATAATATTTAACTATATAATATTGTACTACCTTGACTACTCTCATTAAATTTTCCTTGTTAAATACACTGAAATGAACCTTTTTCTTTGAATGAGATAGCGTTATTTCAGTGACCCTTCTTTCCTCATTTTTTATCATTGTCTAATTAAGCACATTACTTGTAGGACCAATATGCTATTGTGTTATTCCCGCTGGTAGACCTTCTTTATTATTAAGACCCTGTTCCTTAATCTAATTATTTAGTATATATCTCCTATAAAATTACTCACTAGTATACACCATTAGTGAAATTACATGGGACTTGAACAGTTGAAAAAATGTATTAACATTACTTACACATTAAGCTCTCAATATCTGTGGGCATACTAGTAAACCACAGCTAGCTATATTTGTTTCGTTCGACAGATTTTATATATTTCATTGCATTCAGCTTGCTTAAGAACTTATTTTCAATAGTGCAAATTCTTATACAAGTCTTTAAGTCTAAGTGGCGTAACCCACCCTTGTAGGCCACTAGCCCTAAATCGGTTTATACAGGTTAGGTCCTCTTGGAGCTCCTCCGAGCTGACCTCCGCTGTTAGATGCATAAGGATGGTAGTAAGATGATACGTATTAATAACACAACGGCGTGTGTCATGGAGTTTCATAAAGCTCAATCCACCATGTTTTATTTTGTCATCAATAAACAACGCAAATAAGAGGCTTTTTAGGACCGTACCGTAAAGGAGATCGGTTTGTTCAGTTTCTCTCCCAGAGAACGTTCTAATTCTAAAGATTCATCCTCCAAAAAGTTCGATATCCACTGAAAACGTTCCCCACTAGTTTCTTCAATATTTAGCACGAAGCATATTATTAAGCACTGTTTTTACACATTTAGAAAAAAAAAAAAAGAAAAAAGTACGCAATCTACATGTGTCTAGAAAAATTTAGTCACGAGTCGGTTTCTACAAAACTAAACAATGGTCTACGGTACTACTTATTTTCCTTCCTATAGGCAAATTTTAATCTCCTCGCTTAAGCACTTCCTAGCATTTGCCTTGGGATAATTTTTTCACGTACTTTACTTAACCCAACAATAATTTTGCGTGTGTTATTTTGTTGTTCGGCCCGGTTTTCAGGTACTGATGAGAAACTGAACTCCTTTTGGCATATATTGAGCATGGTGCGGTGAGAAATAGTAAGAGATTTTAGGTGAATGGTGCCCAAAGTATTATTAGCTAACTCGATCATGGTTTCTCAACAAAGCTGACAAGGAACTTTCAAGGTTCAGGCGTTTTTCGGTTACGTTTTCCGCGCCCGCTACCAAAACTCATACTTTTGGAACTATACATCTTCTTTGGGATATACCTTTTGGAACTGATACGGACAAGAGAAGACTAATAAATGCTTGTGGAACATGATGATTTAAATCGCACATTCGCATAGAACTTCTGTCTGCCCTTTTATCTCAGTTTCGTCTTTGCGTGCCGGTTCCTCTAAGTCGCCCTTTTTTATAAACTGTCTTTGATTGTCTTCATTGAGCTTCGTTTGATTCTTTTTGCTTTCACCAAGCGAGCGTTCTGATGGCATTGGAACCTTTCTTGATTCGCATAGGATTTTCATTCGCTCATCTAATTCTTTCGAGGTAGCAAGTCGGTCGTGAAGTCGATATGCGAAGGTAACAATACGGCTGGCTACCGATTTTATCCATCATTCTAAGCTATACTTTGAACATTGTTATCTTGGAAGTGTTCCATGTATTCTATGGAGAGCTGTCCTCTTGTAACCTCGTTGTTGTCGGTGTTCCAAGAGTCCAATCTATTTATGTCTGGGTCATCACTCTTATCAACAGAGACTCCAGGTAATTTGACAGTGTGAAGCGTGGTTCAGTTTACTCTGTGTTTTTCTATAGTATCTTTAAAACATGACACGCAGTCTTAATGGAAGTTTAGCTCGTGTAATATTGTTGTAAACGGTCCAGTAGACAAAATTCTAGGGAATACCTCAAGCAGTGTCCAACATTCGCAAAGGGCACTGAACTGTTAATATATATTTTCGTATAATTATGGTACTTTGAAGTGCATCAAAATGTTTAGATTGCAGAAAACTCATCAGATTACACGCATAAACATACAACTTCAATGTTATACATAATAATATAACTAATTATAAATATAGTAATACATTAATAAATACAACTTCTATGGCAAGCGCAATTGTCATAGTTTGGGCTCGACATTTAAATTGTATTTTCAACGAAAAAAAAAATCCAGCGAAACGCTACCAACAGCATCGAATAAGGGCAATTATCAGTGTTTTTTCCGAGAAAAAAAAGCTGATCCAAAGCTAACAGTTTCGATCCTGTCAAATTAGAAAATAGATATTGATTATGAGTTGGATCAAAGATTACTGCTGGACTCACGAACGACCCCTAACTGCTCGTTAGGGGAGACTGCGATGTTAGCCATCGAAGCCTGGTATCTCGACCTTGAATATCAAAATTTAGCTTTTACTGAACCCTATAATGATATCTGTTAGGAAGCCCGAGTTGTGAATCTTTTATGTTAATGTCGAATTACTAGGCGACCTGAACAGCAGTAATAAATAATACATATATTTCAAGCAGCAATGACTCTCAGCGTCATTTAGTATACTCCCAAAAACAAATAATATATTATCTCGGTTGCTTAGTATATAGTCGGGTTCGCAACGGTTTCAAACAGGCATAGATAATGGAGCATGAAATTCATCATTGCATCCATAATTCTATTATAATTTGATTACAAACTGCATAAGAAGCACCTATGTGGAGAATGGAATTGCCAGAAACGTCTGGGAGTGCGCTGGGTACGTCATGCAGAACAGAAACGTAGCTATAATTCTTGACTTCAAGGTAGATTTTTATTGTGTTAATAGAAAGCACCCAATTCTTTGAATTTAGGTGATACAGCCAGGCAACTGGGTGATTGATAGCTAACTAGTGTGACTTGAGTGGCAAAAGGCTCGAACATGACTATCTCTAGTCTAAGTACGGAGCAGCTTCGCTCAAGGGCCCACTGGTCTAAACTATATTTATGATCTCCATTAATTTTCAGCTGGCATTAAAACGATGCGTTTCGTTGATGATAACCCTACCGCTACCGCAACTAGAGACAACTCACATAATGAATAGAACAAGGATGTCATAAAACATCAATCACTGAGCAAAGGACAATTCCGCAAAGAAAAAAAACACTGAGTTACCTAAGTCCCAAATTGGCAGCTTTGTTTTTGTACCGCGCGATCTAAACATCGACCTCTAAGCCGAGATCTTGACCAAAAAGCTAAAATCGTCCGAAATTTACCCAAAGCCGCACCGACAATGCCCGTGCATTAGCTCAAGTTATAAACTATGCGCTATCGAACCGCGCGAAATTAACCAAGTGTCAACGAAGGGTGCTCTACGATTTCCTAAAAGGCTCGCGTCAACGATTACTTAAGCCTGCTCGTCAGCGGAACCTTGCTCCACTGTGGGACAGGTTAGTGACACAAGCGGGAAGGAAACCACACAAATGGATACGGAAAGAAGATCAAGGCTATGGTCTCTAAATTCTAATGGAGCACCTCACAAGTGTGTTCGCGGTGACGAACACCATCCTACGAATAAGCCTTTCTGCGCTGACGCATGAGACAGACATTTATGATCCATGAGAAGCTAGGAGCTGAGCTCCTTGTGTTCGAGGCATCGCGCTTTCCGACAGGATAAGGCGGCTGGACCGGATCGGATTTGTGATGGAAGAATAATGCGGATGACATGTTGCCTTCCTGAAGAAGTCTATTCAATGTTTGCTTACGACGTAAACACCTACCGACAAGCTGTAGTAAAGCCCTACTGGTTGTCATACTGAAGAGAAAAGGCAACCTGTTGGGCCCATGGAGGGCGATTGTTGCTACAAGCTTTTGGCCCATTTTATAACATTTGAAGCTAACGAGGTTCCAGGAGTGTATTCCGACTGAACAATATGAAGTTCGTATGGGACATCTATGCGGCATATGATATTGCTTCAGGTAATATTACATCGCGCCGGTCGCAGATCAAAACAGGCGTTGTTTTCGTGGATTTTAAGTCGGTGTGTGATATGGCTCCTGAAAACAACATATTCATAAAGCCTGCAGAATGCAGAATCCCACAAAGCATGTTGTATACAGAGAGACCGTGTGAGCGTAAGTGACGAAGAGTCGTTAGTCGATACATAACCCCATAACCTGAATTGTCTGCTATTCGCTTTACTCCTCAATGATCTGCCATTCCGTATTCAAGATCAGGCGAAGCCGGACTGTTGATCAATTTGGGCGAGACAGAGGACATGAAGTTCAGCTACAGGCCGCCATGCTGCTTTATGCGCGCTCCGAACAGGGAGAACAATTTTGAGGTGCGCTAATAACTTCAAAAATCTGGGGGTGAGCTTGCATACGAATGTGCCAACTTTTGGGAAGCACATCACGGGCAAGGTGTGGCAAGCGATGGTTGTGAACGTGACAACACGTACGCTTTCGAGCCTTTCCCTGCGCATGGCGCTGGCCTTGTTCAAAATAAAAACGGTTCTTATTACTTGCTAAGCAATTTAAATTATCTGAGATTGCTTCTCATTGAAACAGCTGAAAAGGCTTTCGTCACATCAGTCTATTGCAAGTTCGTCAACGCATTGACAAAAAATGGTGAAGCTTGATCCTGTTTTTTATAATACACGAGCTATGACTAATGAAGCTTGAAACAGACCGGGCTAAATGAACCGGCACATAGATACGCGTTTTGCAGTATATGGGGTTCATCAAATGACCTGTGGGAGAGTGGGCTATGTATATCTGTATAATATGTAATACAATGTGCCTCAGGTACTACGCGGAGTACCTGAGGCATATTGTATGTATTACATTGAGGAGTAAGCTGCAGTGCGGTCAAGGAGCAACCCCTCTGATCGGTCACATCGATCCAAAAATTAAAAATTCTAGCATTTCTCTAAATGCAAAAAAAACTATTCGTATTTATAACGCAAATCGAAAAAAATTACTACTGCTTAAGACCAAAGAACTTAAGTGTCATAATAGGCATAACTAAGACTTTTGAGGATCAACTTAGGAGTCTTGTGTCGTATAATTTTGGAAATTGCACTTTACACATTTTATAAAATTCTGCCAGATCTTATATTCGTCTTCTGGAAAGGTTTCTATTTTTTTTTTTAATATAACAAACTACAAGCAGAAACTTAATACTCATAGGCTCATGAACATTTAATGAACATCTAATATTCCTCATTAGTTTTTATGACTCCGTTAATAATTTGTTTAACCTATTAAACTAAAATGATGTTTATGTTTATTAAAAGCAAATAGCGATATAAGATGATGACGACTCAGCTACTGTTGTCATCCGAGGGCTGATCCGAACACTCAAAAACTACTTAAGCATTTATTTTATATTTAGCAACACATGTTTAGCTTATCGATGGACTATTAATATTTGTTGGTGTGGATTTTGTTTAATAACACAAGTATCTTTGCTACAATAAATGTTGGCCACTGTTTATCTCATTGGAGCAATTGCAGAAATCTTGTTCAGGATTGAAAAGTATGTATGTCAAATTAATTATATTTATCGAAAAGATCCTCAGAATTTGTCTTTCATACGTTCAACGTTCATTCGGGTCGCCTAGTAACTCGAATTCCAAAAATTTTTTTATTGACATATATATATTTTTTTTTCAATGATCGAAATGTAGCTTGAGAAGAAATGTAGCTTTTTCTTTATATTTCTAAAGCAAACTATACGATAAATTTGCTAGCAAAAAAATTACTTTTAAGCACGTTGACTGATTTGGTGGCAAAATATGTACAAGTGCGGGGTCTCAAACTCGATCAGCCCTTTGGTCATTTCGAATTTACTCTGCACCTTTGTCTCACACTCAATACACATATACACTTTTTACATGTAATACAATCATATGTATCTCGAGCACATCAAACATAATAAGCCCTTACCAGGGATACTCGAATTGAGGGCTTTAGTTTCTGTGAATGGAGAAAGGTCGCGAGGAAATGCGCCGCTTTTTTGCAACAAGAATAATGAAGAATTTGTTTCTTCACGATTTGAGTACTCTTAGACTAAAGATTTCATCGTTTTTGAGTATGGTGTGATAGTCAGTACAATGTCCACTCGAAGAAGTCAGTGTGATTCGTATTCGCTCGATATTGGATCATAATCGCCGTGCGAGCTTCTCGGAAGCGTTTGAGAAGTCATCGCGATCTATACCGACATAAATCTATTATGTAAAAGCTTTAGTAATTGGTCTCGTTACAAGTCAAGAACATTTAGACGCATATGTATTTGCCCTCAAGTCCACGTCTTTGTCACACGTTTTTGGGCCTAATCGTTACCGTATCAGAGCCACAAACAAGTCCTTTGGGCGTGCTAATGAAGGAATCAATGATCTCTGATAATTCTATTTCTTACTGCTGCTTAATTTGATCCTAAGATCGACCCTAACAAGTGTGCTTCTTAAATGTCCGGCACCATTCATGAGCTTAACGAACGTCAGCATGGAGCACCGAAATCGTAGGCGATGCTGATCCTTGCTGCTACGGCGGTGGCGGTTGCAGCCGCTTGGGCCGCCGCTGCTTCATCGGAGCGATTACTGCGTCAGGTCGGAATCAGCAAGGGAGAGGGCTATCAGGCACAAACCTAATATGGAGAGGGAAATGGCAGCTGAATAGAGCGAGGCGACCAAAACCGCCTATAGGCCATCAGTTTTATTGTATACGTGAGCAGTGGCCCTATATCAAGCAGCAGGCTGCAGTGCACTGGAACAAGTGACAGCAGCTGGCAGTGCGAGAGCCGGACCAACTCGCCCTGGCATTTACCTGATTGTTAATCCTGGCTACGTTTCGTTGTGCGATCGTTGAGCAGTAGGCCACGGTAACTAGAGAGAAACCCTCGCTGTACCAAATGGTAGGACGCTGCAGCGCAGAGAACTGAATAGCTTTTGCAACACAATGGGAAACTCGGATTCGAAGTTGAACTTCCGAAAAGCCGTTGTGCAGTTGACCACACGGAACCAGGTGAGAAGTCAACACATGCGCAACTCGCATTCGTGTCTTCGGACGTTACACAGGTTGGCAAATAAATTATACGATTCTATCGACTGAACACGTATCGACGGAGCGCCTTTGAAGTCTAAAACTGTCGTATTAGACAAGGCGACAGAAATCGAATTCTTGTGATTTCTACCTCACTCTGCCATTTAGAACGTCTACCTGTATCTATGCGCTAGGCATATCCGTCATTTATCTTCATTCAACCGTATTTTATTAGACGTGTGCAAGATTGTCCGTGAAAGACAGGAATGCGACTTGAATTCGTATGAAGGCATAACTATGATAATGATAATGATAAATTAAAACGAATACCATTAAGACAGCGGATGGTTTTACGATAACAGGTGAGGCAAGTTAGTTGGGGGCCACATTGACTATAAATAAAGCAGCGAATTAGGCTCATCTTTGAGAACAACCGTTGGCCTTAACAGGGAGCTGTTAGATAGAAAAAAAAAAATTAAATATCATCAGCTTTTCGAAACGTTGTACCATTGGTACCAACTGGTACCATTAATCCAATGAAATCATTACGCTTAAACCACTATCGACGTAACCATTTTGTGATTATATCAAGCACACAGATACGGAGCATTTGCACGAAGTAGATATTTCATGTCAAGATTACTGTTAACATTGTGAACATTAACATTGTTAACTGAAGTGAAATGAAGCTAGCACAAGCGATGAAGCTTCTAGACGCTGGCGTACGATGACAGCAGAGTGAGTGGTCGGTAAAATGACCGAATGAGGACTAAAAGCTGGAAAGCCTCAGAGGTTTTACACTGCAATGTTTGCTTACATGAAAGCGATTTAAAAGGTGGTCCTAATAAAAAGCTCGATTTGTAAGGGATGCATATGACTTACTGGTTTTCTCCCATAAAAAGGAAGCGAAGAGAGCTTATGGAACATTCGAGTTCCCTTTCTTACTCTAGAGATATTGACGATTGTAATAGTTTTGTAGAGCTTAATACATAATTTAGATTATTTCAGCCAATCGACACGAAAGACGAACTTTTTTGGGAGCAGTTGTGGACAGAAAGCCTCGATTGTGTACAAGACATCTTCACGTTGATGCCGGCGGCTGAGGTAATATGAGGGTGGATAGACCTGCATAATTGGATAATTTGGTCATTTTTTGTCTTCTTCCTTGATAACGCCTTGGCGTATAGAGCAGTAGAAAAAAACAATGCAAATGAAAGCCGTAGGGAACTACTCTATCATTTACTTTTATATTTCGATATTAGTTTTGGGAAAAAAATTTGTGATCGTTGGTGCCGGCCCATGTTTTAATAAAGTAAAACGAATTGTCACAATAAACATATTGCGTCCGTACTCATTCCTTGGTCTACATCTCAAACAGGTTCGTAGCCTTCGCGATGAAGCCCCTTCAAATCTAGCCACATTATGCTATAAAGCCGTAGAAAAGCTGGCCACGGCTGCTGATACGCTTCTACAGGTCGACAGTTCCCGTGAACAACAAATCGGTACGTGCTTAACCCATTAAAAAAATAACCCATTATTGTTTCCTTTAGCACTTGTAAAGGATGAATAGGCATCACATACATTTGCGTACGAACGACACAAAATAAAACAGCATGAAACGATACAATTGAATGCATTTAGTATTTCTGAGACGAGCACAGCTTCTGACAAACTTAAAATGATCGTAACTTGATCGATAGCTACGAAGCATCCATTAACATGTTTCTACCATTTGATGGATTCTAATTTTAAAAAGTGTTAAATTGTGTCCGACTGCTCACCCGACTGGTGCCTTACATCTTCGAGGATCCCGACTGGAGGGGATTTTTTTGGACTTGTCTCCCCGGGTCTGGAGCTCAGACGTCAAGTTTAGGTACCGGCCCAAACCAGTCAAGAGCCAGTCAAGATGGAGAAGGACTAAGGATCCCTTCAGCAAATTATGGCACTCTTGGGCATACACTACTCATATCGCTCTGTGTAAGATTTTTTCGCGTTTATCGGAAATATTTTCAGGGAAAATCCGTTGCCTATTGGATTTGTCAATTTAATTTTTATTGGTCCGAACAGTTGTAGCACATCTTCAATAATAACAGCGACAGCAAAGGCTCCTGTTGAGACAACCGCAGTAATATGTAATTGTTGACAAGCTTATTGCTTACGCACTATACATTGAATAAAGCCCGCCCCTTCATCGTTCCTTCGAGGTGCGCCGTTTTTACAGAAAACAGTTAATTTCTGTTGATAAACACTGTTCCTAGTAGTTTAAGCAGTGAAAACTGGTCTTATGCGTGTTTTTTCAGGATCTTTTGTTCTGTCCGGATTTCACGGTACACTCTGCACGAGCTTCCGGAATGTCGGGCGGCGGTATTTTCAAGGGTCCCGATGGACCCGAAGAGGTCACCGATTCATGCGAACTCATATGGGAGCCTGGTGTTGGTTGTGCGCATGCTCCCCCGCGATCTGCGCGTCATGATGCCGCTCGAACAGAGATACTCAAACTCTTACTCACGCTATTCTCCGACACAATGTACCAACCACTTGCTCCTTCATCGAGTTCTGGATCTTTCGAGCAGCGTTCGGCGTATGCGCATCTAAATTCCGAGTTGATTAAAAACTTCCTGTTCAATACATATTAGCCATGCATGCATGCATGCATGCATTCGTTGATTTGAATATAGTGTCACATTAGTGGGTATAGTCATGATACATGTCTAGGTCTAGGATAGCTAAAGAGGTTCTGACGTCAATGTATAAACAAGAAAAAGGCCATCTAACGCATATTAAAACATCCTCCTTTTACCTTACGTAGTTCGAGGAACATTCAAATTCTTCGACCCGCTAAATAGCTTCGGACAACGTAGTATGTTACTAAACGAGTCTGATAGAATATGACATTGTCGGTGCACAGCGCAAATCCCGACAAAATGGATGATATTTTGGCCCACCCAAACATTCATAATCGATACACTGTTTTACAGAAACCGCTGGCTGGATGTATTTACATCTACGGAGAATCGCCACGCTTTACCATTGTTTACATCGTTGCTTAATACAATCTGCGGATATGATCCGTATTCATCTTTGGTGCCTCTTAATCATCTCCTGTTCGAAGATTCCAGGGAACCTCTCGTCGAAGTTGCGCTTCAACTACTCATTGGTAAAATTTATTTTAGCATTGATCACAATTTTTTCAATTTAGAAAAACTAGTTTGGCGCCTTTTCTACTGCTTTTGCTTTCGATCTTTTGCTAGTAGTCTAACAATCACGATGATACCATTCCTAATGTCGATATTTGAAACCTACTCATTCGCAAATCTTCCTCTTACCAAATACGTTTGCTTATTTAAGTCTATTTCGTGAACAGTTTTTTTTTTTATCTTTAGCTACCTAATCCCAAATAGGGGTGAAGTTTAATGATTTTTCAAGTTACTTAGTTTCTTACTAGCAGTTCTCTACGGTTTTTTACGATTGCAAATACCATAACCTTCCTACCCCGTAATAGAATCAAACCTGTCGCTACCATATCAAGGACAAAAGGCTTTTCGAGATTATATTAATGCCGATATATTTCAGCTCTGTACAACAAAAAGTCATTCTGCATTGAATTTTCTTTGTTTTTATCTAAAGTTATCTTATTTGCTTTTATGGTAAATAAATAGTGACCCTCGACCATGACAGCGGGGATAACCTTTTCGTCAACTACCTGTCTCGGGTACATCGTGATCACGATCTTGAACTTATACTTAGCGGTTTCACACGGCTCCTCAACAACCCCCTGCAGTCGTCTTATCTACCCACAAAAAAAGTATATATGATCATTACCGTTTGTATTTTCTTCGAAGTTCTCAATTAGACGCTCACAAAAGTTACAACAACCATTTTCCTGTGATATTTAGAATACTTCGCGTAGTTGTGTGTATGTATTTTTTTTTTTTTTTTTTTTATGCGATCTGGCTAAGTGGGCGTAGCGCTCGTTCAACCAAAATAAAAAAACCTTACTTAAACCTTAACACCTTAAACCTTCGCAAGTTCAAAAGGTCATTAATTTCTCGAAAACGCTGAACTAAGTGTCGCCGTTGCGAATAACTTCACACACTAAACTTTACGTTTTTCTTTGACAGATCCAGTTTCATCAGGAGCTGTTAGTACTGTTCTGGAAGGCGTGTGATCACAATCGCAAGTTTCTTTTCTTCGTCCTAAAGAGTTCAGCTGTACTTAATATCCTCGTGCCCACACTTTACCATTTGAACGAGGCACGCGCCGACCAGTGTAAGAAAAAGAGATTTTATGCACTGAAAATAAGTCGTATTTATAAATTTAGTTACCTTTGAGGCTATAATCGCAAATTTCAATACTTTTGAAGTGACAACCAACATGTTCCTGAAGTACAGCACCAATGCTTTCACCACTGAAAAACGTAAATGTCACGATCGTCTTTTAAATAATCTCCTTTTGCTACGTAATCCTCTTTTGCGGTGACACTTCGAACTGTGCCTTGTTTGCAGCTTCTGAAAATACGGTACCTACCGGCTACAGTTGTGATGTTTAAGGCCGTATATAGTTCATACAGACTTACGAGAGCGCCATGAAATTCGTTCATGCCGCCTGCTTACACCAGCCCTCGGCGCAGTGACCTGCATGTTGCTCTTTGCACCAAGTGCTTGTGGCCTACGTCATCGCGCCCCTAGGGCTTTGTTTGAGGGTGGTTCTTCTGTCGACTTCATCTATTTGTTTTTTCAAAGATTGAACCCTTCAAGCAAAGCAATGATCAATACAAACCTTCTGCAACGACTATTCGTGCTTCGGCATCCGATGAATGAATCACGTTTTTCTGACAACCAAGGAGGTTCATTTGATCTAACGTGAGCCCAGTGCTAAGCGAGTTGTGTCTAGTTTTGGTCAACAGAAGGATGACTTCCAAGGAGATCAAAAGTAAAGGAAAGATATACTTATAAAATAATTGTATTATTTTATGATGGAAATCATTTTCTAGAATTCAGCACATAAGAGCGGGCAGACAACAGAATTTAATTATTAGAGGGGTTTTGTTATGCATGCAAGCAGATGTCCTTAAGACGATTTCTTCAGTCAGAGAGGATCCGTACGGTCCGGTTTCGGTCCATAAAGTCCGATGTTAACTAGAAAGGTGTTTTTCACAGTGCGAAGCAATCAACAGTAGAAGTCAGATGGTTGATTAGCGTGCACATGTTGCTACCACAAGCTCAGCCATTAAGTGAGGAAGGTGGCCGTCTTTAAGTAGCCTTCCAGCTAAGGCCTTATTGACAAAACAGAAGCTCGGCTATCTCGTGTACAGAACAGAATAAGATAGAAAATCTTTATCATATAGACATACAAACCAACGAGCCAGCATATAAAAGAATCCAAAGCTGATTGAAATAAAGTGGAGCGCAAGGCCATTGTGAAAAATGTAATGTTCCTCGACCTCTCTTTGAGGAAAAAAAATGATTGATCTGTACCTTAGTCAAGACAGAGTGTGCGTCAAATGCCAAGACGTGAGCTTTAGCACCCTCTTCAGTTAAAGGACTTTATCTTCAGAAAAGAGCCGAATCACGCGATCATATAAACTACAGACAATTTACTGCGTCGACAGTGGGGCGCATGAGCCTCTACTAGTCGTGGGGCTTTCGTAAGTCAACATAAGCAACACAAAGCTTTGACGATTATGCGCGATAAGTATAGTTTTTTTCAGAGACTTTGATTAAAAGGAAACTGAGAGCGAATGGCACAAGTTTGTTCGGAGAAGATGGACGTGGCGCGGCTTCTTAGTCTTGGTATAAATTGATGTTGTATTTGATAGAGACTGTGGAGAAATTTTGTAATGCAAAAAATGCCATGGCCATAAAATAGCGTACTGGGAGCCAGTGTACGTGTGTTGACGTTTTGTAAAGTAACAGAATCAGTGGGGTCTTTGGAACCCCATAAGAATATAATCTTCATTATTTTTAATGTTTTCAGCGCGCGTAGGTCTAGTCCATATTGGTGTGTTTATCCTACTGCTTTTGTCGGGTGAGCGAAACTTCGGCGTGCGCCTTAACAAACCATATACGGCCTCCGTGTCAATGGATGTCCCCTTGTTTAGTGGGACTCATGCAGACCTGCTAATTCTTGTATTTCATCGTATGATTACGACAGGCCATTCAAAGCTACAGCCACTCTTCGATTGTCTGCTTACGATCATCGTTAATGGTACGATAAACACTGGCTGCAGTGCAACGAATTGATATTTTCCTAATACTTAAATATGTCTATTAATATCCATAGTATAGCAAGAACGCCTTTAGTCGTACAAGCTGCCGATTACTATCGCGCTATAAGCTTCTTCGAACTTTTTGATGACCAATAGAAGTGTAAAAGCTCGGTTCACGATGCATTGACCAGTATTGTTCGATACATTTTGCAGTATCGCCGTACCTGAAGTCCTTATCGATGGTGGCAGCGAGTAAACTGCTCCATCTGCTCGAGGCATTTTCAACCCCATGGTTCCTCTACTCAAATCCCAACAATCATCATCTTGTATTTTTTTTACTTGAAGTGTTCAACAACATCATACAATATCAGTTTGATGGTTAGTTTTTTTTTTTTTCGCTTTAGGTACAAATATTGTCGTCATTGGATTTATTTATTTATCTATAATATAAAACGAAGCCTGTCCATATATGTTTTTATTGCTTATGTATTTCAAAATAGCCGAACATATACGATTGATTGAGCGATACAATTTGATTAAGTGATACTGCTTGAAATATTCTTAAAATCTGTTTATTTAAACTTTTGGCTAGATACACTAGAGCTTCGGTTAATTACTTACAAAAGAGTGATAGGTAGGCAAGTATCTGCTTCGTTCTACACTTTTTTGCTATTGGTCCGTTTTAGAGGATACTTACTCGTAATGTTTTTTAGGCAATTCGAACTTGGTTTACACCATCATTCGGAAAAGGAACATTTTCCATATATTGGGAAACCTACCAACGGACAGGGCGACCATACAAAGAAGTGTAGCAGGTGGCGGGATGCGTTTACCGCATCAACTTTCAGGAGGACATCGTGACTTTCAGCAGCACCAGCAGCCATCGGAAAAGCAGGCACGGTACCACCAACAACAAAGATCTACAATGGATCCGCCGAGCAAACGGGCGAATTCTACGGAAGCTAAGTCTGTTGGGGACCTGACGGTACCTTGCGGTACCGTCAACTCCCCAACAGACTCAGATGGTCCTGACGGAGGTTCCTCGGCGGCTAGCGCCGGAAACGCTATCAAATCATCTTCAGAAGAGAGCCAACACGATCACGACTGCAAGCAAGTGGCTACACTCGCCGCAACACCAAGTTAGTTACCAATGTATAAATCTCCAAAGGCATACTTTAGTTTTAGATGTTCTGGATTTGAACACCGTGTTCGTCAAGAAAATGTTCATTAGATATAGGTATCTAAGCCGGTGGGTAATAAAAAAGAAATAGCGTTTCTAACAATAGAAATAATAGGCCACATTTTTTAAATGTCCATTATTTATTTGATACAGGAATTGAGAAAATGACAGAAAAAGAGGAGGCGCACAAAATGACCAATCTTGATCTCGATGGCCTTCCGACACCTCCTTCGCCATTGGAGACGTCGCGCACGAGTCGAATGGACGCAGCAGGTACCGCCGATGGACGGGAAGGTTCTGAGATTTCCGGTGAACAGCACGCTTGTCATGACAAGATGCTTCTACGTAAGCAGGGCTCGCTACCATCGCTTTCGTCTAGTCAGGCAAGCCGAGAGAGCGATTGGACGGCCACATCCGAGTGGGTTATCAGTTGGAAAGCTAAGCTTCCGCTGCAAACAATTATGCGGCTGTTGCAAGTATTAGTACCACAGGTGGAAAAAATCTGCATTGATAAGTAAGTAGTTTGCATTTCAAACTGAAACTCCTCAGGGCATTTTACTTATTTTATTTCTTTATTAAAGTTATCTTTTGGACAAAAGCATCAGTCATAGCAGTGATAGACGTATCTAGTAAATGTGCGTACTTTTTTCTTTCGAAAATACCTCCACACACCCTGTGTTACACCTTATGCTATGACTGCTGCAACAAAAATCCTCGTACCTAATATTAGATAAAGAGCTTTTTGTTTTCGTTTCTCGTGTACATTTACAGGGGTTTGACCGACGAGTCCGAGATCTTGAAGTTTCTCCAACATGGAACGCTGGTCGGTTTACTGCCGGTACCTCATCCCATACTAATTCGCAAGTATCAGGCAAATGCAGGTACCGCCCTTTGGTTTAAGACGTACATGTGGGGAGTAATCTACCTGCGTAACACCGACCCACCAATCTGGTATGATACGCACGTCCAGTTGTTCCAAATCCATACATTATAAGAATACTGTAAAAGAAGACCGCACCAATGAGAAAGACCACGTGTATAGAAGCAAACACTTTCCGTCTGTCCGATGGCTGTTCATAACCGCATCAGCAGCGAACTGATCCTTTTGAGAACGTGTCCGGTTCAGAACGCTCGAAAGCCTTCAATTAAGCTTTTCACTGCTATATTTAAAGTTTGTGCCCGATGCCACACACACACGCGCCCACACACAGATATATATATTATATGTACTGATAATTTTCAGCCATATCAAACAATACGAGCTAGAAATATCGTTGTGAATTTATCAGGTACAGTCTTCATTTGGAATAACAGAAAACACATATAAAGAAGTGACGCTTAATCAGTAAGTATGTATAGCTGAACAGTAGTATGTTAATTGGCTTTAAAAAACAATTTAATAATCATTGACGATGTACCTATAGCTGTGGAGCCTATTTGTGGATCGCTTATCTACAGAATTTGATATGATATTAGACCAGTAGAAGCAGTGAGTTGAGGCTTTGGGTCAATAAAGCCCACCTTAGAAAACGGACCGGACTTGAGGCCGTAATAACCAATACATTTCGCCAAGAAGCACAGGATTGAATGATATGCTGATACTTGATGGAATCTCTATTTTAGGTCTCGATTTGAATGTACGTCGGTAAAGCAACCCATGTCATATACCTAATGCTATTGGCTAAGTGCACTGCATGTAAGAAGCAGTGCATGATTTAATTTTTTCGTTAGAAGTAAAGTAACACGGTGTATGTAGGAAACGTGCTTTTTGCATTTATCTCATATGAATCTGACCTGCATTAAAGATCAGTGATCTTATATATATTCTGCTAATTTATACGGGTGCAGACCGTCTATGCCGATTATAATCTTGTATTTTATGCAACTTCGTATTGACAATGTTATCGCTCAACGCTTTAGTTTGATGCCTGGATTGTGGCAGCGACCTAGGTTTTGACGAAAGATTTGCATTGAAAATAAACAGAGATAAGAAGAGAGACAGAGTACGTTTTACAAGATTAAATATCTAAGGGAGCAGTATCACACGTAAATTTCGGAATCCAAACATACGTAAATAGGTGATTGTAAAGGACATTTTGTTGTGTTGAAGCGGACTGACATAAATTGACTGTATCAACGTACAGTTATAGGTACTGCAGCCGCTTCTTTTGACTCCATTTGAATACCAAAAAGCCGACTTCTGATACGAGCTAGAGGCTTTGCAATTACAATGCAAAGTTTTATCAACTAAACTTTTGATACAGATTTCTAGTTAGGAAGATAAGTTAGGGTTAGTTATCCCGAATGTTCATTTTTTTGAGTAATCTACGTTCAAGGTCAAATATATAGACAAAAGGAATTAGTGATTATTTATTTCTGATCTCTAAAAGACATTGAATCAATATGAGTCAAGCGTGCAGTTCCTTTGCAAGTTTTAAGAAGCATTGAATTCTTGTTGGCTAAAAGTCTAGTCAACCTCAGAAGCATATTCGATTCAAAGATGTCCTATAATCAAGCTGAAAATCAGCCTTTGTTACGTAGGAGCAAAAGTTCATATGTTCAAAAGTTTCCATTCCATTGCCACTCCGCCTTGCTATTCTGTCAAACGTCTAGAATGGAAAAATACTACTAACTATTAATTCCTGTAATTATTGTGTATCACATATTGTAAAATAGTATATATTACGTAAGGTTCTAAATTACGGGTGAACTGATAGACGAGAATCGAAAATAGTCGTCAAATTTTTGGACATAAAACACTAGCATTTCGTATATTATACTTACCCTGACAGCGGCTATCACAAACTAAAAACTGAGGTGGGATTGTAGTCTATAACACTTATTTTTGCTTTTTGTTACGTAAACAAACTACAAACACCTTTGAATGTATTATTTATTTAAGAAAGAATAATTTAAGTTGTGTGTAACATAATGTGCGGTGGTTTTGTCGTTTTAAAGAAAAATATATACAATAATTTATATTATTATATAATATATTATATGATAATGAATAAATATTATTGTACCGTAAGCCTACTTATTGGCTTCTATTTCCTTCAATGGATTTATGTACACTAATAAACACGATGCCTTTTTGGGAACACTTTTCTATTATTCACCCAATCGTCGTTCTTTTTTTTTTTTTAATTTTTTTTTTGCTACTATACTCTGCAACTTTTATTTGATGAATCAATTGGAACTCTTATATTAAATATTATATTTCAATTTATACCAAACACCGCGAAAGACGCATCGACGAATAATCAAGTGTGAAACCCAACATTAAAAGCACCTATATAAATGCATTGGGGTCATATTTTGGGGAAGTGATCGAATAAAGTTTCACAAATAGGGAGCAAATTGACCAAATAAAATATAAATATGTGGATTCCATATTGACTGGGTTTGTCGGTGGGATTATAGTGAGGGCCTCAGAGCATAAACGAAAAATTAGCGTTATCATGGGGAGGTTATCTTATGTTTTATTATACTCTACATTTCATCGTTCTCATATAATATCAGGAACTGGGTCTAAATATGGACAATAAAAATGGAACGAACGGTATCTACTTTAGTTTCGTTTGACATGGCTAGTTATTGTATGTTAGTAGAAAACTTAAAAACTCGAACATTGGCATCCTATCTTTTGGCTAGAGAAGGGGATCATCATACAAGCATTAGAAAATGCTTGGTGAGAGCAAGTAATTTTTAGGAAACATCTTTACGTGGCTCTATGGTGTGAGCCAGGATTTATTTTTAGCCCTCCGTTTTGTTGTGTATTTATTCAAAGCACCAATTATCGTAACTTATGTAAACGAATTTTCTATTACTAATTCATGTCGTATTAGACTCGCACGTGGAATCAAGGCAAGTATATATATATATATATATATATAAGAAGCTTTAGAATAAAATTCGGCCAGGTGGAAATATGTATATAGGTCAAGTTAAAATAAAGAGTTAAGAAATGCGGTTTCGTTTTCTTCTAATACACTAGGGCACGGTTTCTCCAGTAGCCTCAGATTTTCAGGGCAATAAAAGGTCATCAAAGAGCGATATTTCAGGTTTTTTCTAGAAATCTAGGTTTCATCGTGTGGTGCATAAAAAAATATGTTCTTACAACTAGAAAAGTTTCAAAAATAAGACTTAATTTTCAGGCAAAAATGTGTATATAATAGCTTCAGTTATGCATGTTTCAAGATGACGGCACACTATGCGTGATTGGGCTTCATGCAAATGTCATCTGATATGCTGCTATCTTAAACACTACCGGTGGCCAATTTTGTTTAAAAATCACCCACTTTATTTATAAACTTCTACAGGTCTCTCAAACGACCATCATTGCTTTGCCTTCACGAATAGACAAACAGGCACCAAATACGAGAGTTACGTTTGACTTGCCACTTTTTGGAAGCCACTGGATTTCTTTTTGGTAAGGTCACTTTAGACATTGCCGCAAATGAGTCTTGATTATCAACCAGTTTACACTTACTAAGGGAGCTTAGCACAGTGTTATCTATGGTGTATGTCATTACTTGTTTATTTATTTTCATCAATCTGGTGGTATATGATTTGCTATGCTACGAAATTGCTCCGTGTCGGGTCGTATTCGTGACGACATTAATGGTACCACATAATTAAAAAAAACCTTGCAATGTAATAAGAGAGTTGTCAGGTAGTTAATTTTGAAAATATATCAAAGCCGATCCTCGTTGTGACCGATGCCAAGCGGTGACTTTGGCTACGAACTTAAAGATCATAATTTTTTTCGTACACGGTGTTAGACGATGAGGTTGGCTACATGCTGAATGCATAATATCAGTCCTGACAACAAAGTCAGTTAGCGGACTTTGCAGTCCGTATGTTCATATATATATGCTGGTGTCTACATATCTCATTTTACGTCGTTCAATTATTGTAAATATATAATAGATGAGGTATACGATCATTGGGCTTGTCTCTTGAAGAGAGTCTGTATCTGCTGTAAAATATGATACTTGGCAATTTTGACTATGGCGATGGCTAAAAAAATTGGAGTCTTCTAATCGTAAAATGAAGGGTTTGATCAGTTAGTGTTTATTATAATCAATATTTGAAAAATATTGCTGGTGAAGTACTTAAAGCCTTTGAAAGGAAAATCCATATAGTTGGCTTTAAGAGTGTCTGCCTCTTCACTGCAGGTCACTATTCAAACAAAAGCTCATCTACGGCTTCCCTATTCGCTATTTTGCAAACCGTCATTTTTAGCAATGTACGTAAGTATCATGTTCAAAAGATGATGTTTTTAAGAAAGAATGCGGAAGACAATGCTGAACAAAGTAGAAATATTAATAATTGAATGTCTGTCCTCAATGGGATCGGAAATTACCGTCATCATTTAACGGCAAAGTTGACGTTTAAGGTAATCACTCAAGGAAAGTGACAACAAAGTTGATATATATATAAGAAAGCATATATGAACATCTGCATCATTTTAGTATAGTAACTTTTTTAGTTTTTTTTAACAGGCACTTGTTTTGTAATTTTTGTATACATAACACTCTTTCTTTATGTAGTTGCACGCTTGTGAAAAATATATAACAGGCCGTAACTATTTTAATTTTAATATTATGTTTCAAAAACATGTGTAAATAAATTTTAATAATACACATGGCTCAATTTTAGACATTTGTGTATTGTCTATGTTGCCATAGGTTTAAAATTGTGTCGCCATTGTGTTAGCTAAAGCGCACCTTCCAGGTAGCTGGTGTAGAAACCATTCTCAGTAAAGGCTTAAAAAATACGGGCTATAAATAATAAGAGAATTCAGCATCTGCGTGTCATTCCGGTGTTCGAATCTTCGCTCAAACTTTGTTTTAAAAGACGTCCATTAACTTCCTTTTATTGAAACAAGGTATATCCACTCGGTGTAAATCACCACTATTATTATTACACTAAACTATAAATCGGTATCATTACGTGACTAATGGCGCCCTTATTATAAGAAATTGGGTAAATGTTGTGCAGTAAAGACGGCAACAAAATCTAAGGATAAATTCTCTGCAAACTGATAATGTAAATCGATTACAACGACGGCGAGCATCTCATACGTTTTTTACACCTTGACGAACCATACGGCCCATGCTTCATGGTTCACTGTTTAATTTCTGTCAAATAGCGTTTTATATAAGTGATAATTGTTGATTATTGTTAACGTGATTATCAATAATTATATGGTGCTCTGGCGTAGTATTTTTTACTTCGCGTTTTGCTGCTGATGCCTCATTGTAAATTAGCTCTAACAATTTTAGCTACTGATAACTCATGTACAGAATCTCCGTCTCTATCTCACCAACATATATGCTACTGGTAATTTAAATTGTTACGTTGATTGTTTGATACGTATGATCACATTAATTTCCGTGGTTACTGTATTGTATATGTTGTTTTCTTAGATATGATGACACACGGTCACAAAGCCGCACGTTACGCTTCGTCACGCGACTTCAATCAGAAATGTCCCACCTGGCGGCATTCCAGACTGCATCGCGGCTATGGCGCCAACTGTAAGGAATCAACTAAAATATAATAATAATGAAACATAGTAGGTGTTTTACATGGAAAACGACTGTGCCGCCGTATTCGATGACTATAACAATCCATATACGTTAACATTTGTGCTTGATAGACTTGCAATACTAAGCATAACAAATGATGTCGAAACTCGAAAAGCCTCTATATTTGTCAATGGCATAATATAACATACGTAATTAAGTTATGTCACGAACTTGTGATCTCAGAAGGGGTGTGTGGAAGAAGTGAGATTCATCTGGTATTTGCCTCAACGAGTTTGGCCGCCTGGCTATTATGGCAGAGAAAACCGCCATCTGGTGCTTGGAACTCCTTACGAGTTTGGCCCTTCAGTCGTTGTAGCAAAGAAGAAAGCCATCTAGTACCTGAAAGCCTGAACGAGTTTGGCCCTCTCGACGTTGTGGTGGAGAAAGCTATATGGTATTTGAAGGTTCTAATGAGTTTGGCTCTCCAGACGTCATACTTGGCCTACAAAACTGGGCATGCGCGATTTTCTTACGGGAAGACCAACGTACGCTGGGCTCGTTTCAGTTTCGTAGATTCTGTTTTTTAAATTTAATTATTGCCTGTCCAAATATCAAATGCGTGTATATTATACCACCATTAATGTACCTCTAAAGTTCTCAGTAGCTTGCATTTTGAGAGCTTCTTGGCACGATATGTTATCTATAACTTAATCGCGTGTACTTCAATAGTTGTTTGCCATAGAGGCAAACAATTGTTTGCTGGCTAATCCGCCCGACTCTCTCAATCTAATTCACATTTCTTCTTAACGTGTAGTGACGATGGGTGCGCTAACATTAACCATTTGCATAGAGTTTACTTCAATAAAAAGCATGTTAATGTTCTTTTCTTGTTATTTTTACATCTATTATGCCATGCGAATACTTTTAATATCTTGGAGAACCTAACAAAACCTACAGGGGTAATTGGACGTCCAGATCCTGCCACAATGCTACTGATTTTGGACACTAAAAAGGAAAATCGTTTTATCTCTGCCTCAAAATTAATGGTAAAGCCAAAATTGCTACCGTTTGTACTAACAATAGCAAATATTTTCATGATGATGTGAACTTCCAATTTTAATAACTGGAAGAAGATAAAATCACATAAAGCCACCTTTAACTTTATTTCGCAAAATTGCTTTCAAGTTTGTTAGCACGCATACAAGTCGGCCACTGCATTATCCCTCAAGTGGTAAACATTCACAATTAGTTCTAATCGTATATCTTTAATGCTAAATTAGCGGGTACAACTCATCGTCATTAGACAACAGATGTAAAAATGACAATGAATACAATGGCAGAGTGTCCTAATAGGTGGTAGTTTTGGTCAATGCAATGATGAAAGGGGTATGGCTTTAGTTGGTCGATCACCAAAACTAAAAGTATTTAGCTAATCTAATTATTCTACAACATTTCGTGAAATTTCCCGACTATCGATCCCTCGTATAATATATCTAATCTTAGCCATTTCAAGGTATTGAAATTGTTTCAGTTGAAGCCTTTTGAAGAATTGATGATATGTTTATAGCAGTGTTGACATTCTCGGATTTAATCTTCGGACTTTTTGTTCAGCGGAGTGCAGAGCACCTCTTTCGTAAGGTTACACTTCAGTACCATCCAAACTTCACCTACACGATTTGTCTTGTTCTCCAGTTCTGATTTAACTCTATTCTCAACCGTGTAACAAAACTAGAATAAAAATATTAGAGTGTTGTATTCTTATATGGTTTTGGCGATTATTAATTTCGATTTAGTCGAACACATACTTAGAGTCAATATAAATCTGGAACCACACTCGGCCGTTTGAAAAATGCCTAGGTGTATATTTCTTCTTATGGTATAGGGTGCTTTTACAAGTGAAGGATGTTTTGTTAACTTTCAAATTCTGAAGTCGGGTTTGCTCGAAAAAGTCTAGCAGAAACACAGTATGTCATCTCTCTAATATAATCAAAGCCAAGATCAGATTCTGAGGTATTTCATTTCGTGATATCCCGCTCAAGGTTGTCGTTAATTCCCATCATTTTCAACCACAACAAAAGAAGACATGGATTATATATTTGTTTTTGTGATACAAGATAAACACCTGTAAGTCGCAATATCATCTTCAATTCTTTCCTGCAACATATCCCTATTGCCACCCAAGCTCTAAATACAGCAAGACAGAGCACTCGTTATTATCGACTGTAACATTTATTTTATTCTAGACGAAGCAAAGATTGCAATATGTAATTGGTCAGAAATTCCAGGATAATCGTACATATCAGGGTTACAGTTTACAATGGAGCAAAAAAATGCTTTTTTGATTAAATTTTGGAAAACTTAAAAGAAATTTGGTAGCAATCTAGCTAGGTACCAAAAGCATCTCCGTAGTGTAATATGCTTCTCAGGATTTACGTTTCGATATTTTTATATCGTTGTCAAATATAGTACAATAATTAAAGGGTGGCAGCAAAGCATCTGCTCCAAGGAAAACCATTTATAAGTTCTCAAGTTCGAGAGGTAAACGATCATTTCCATTTCTCTACGTCCATTTCATCTACGTGGAATTGACTAGAAACGAAAATAAAGGTACATAAGCAAATTCTTACGAAACTTCCAGCCATTTTAGATATCTTTTTTTTTGTTAGGCCACTCGCATTTTGCAACATTCTGCGCATTTTGACATGATATTGGGCGCTATTATCTCAATTACAATGTATATGTTCGTGTAATATAGGTAGAATTGGTCGAATAGGTGGCAGGTAACACATAGATAAATAGTTTGCTTTGCGTAAAAACGATATGTAAAATGCACGACAAACAAACAAACAAACAAAAACAAGCGGGTTTATTGTCAAACGAAATCATTGTATACGTAAGTGCGCACATTTTTTTAACTTTTTTTTTTTAAACAGATTTACTCCGGTGTTACAATCATACTAACAAGTCAGGAATCGGTTAAGAAAAAGCTTATATGATTGAAGAGTAAATGCACATATTATATAAATTTGTGAAAGTTATTGCAGGATTTATTTAGTCACTTTATTTGCTATACAAATCGCGCGTTATGCGTGTTTCACAATACAAAGATGTCTTATATTTCTGTTCCTTATAATAAATATTTTACTAACCCAACATCTCTACTATATTTTATTTTGGAAAAAAGTAAACGTTGCTCGCATGCTATCATCGCTATTTAATTCTTTATGCCTTAATCACCGCTTACGTATCCGAGCACATCATTCGCTAAATTTTTCGAAAGGTGGGTAGACAGTATTCATACTGCTGCATCAAACATTTTACTCATTTATGCATTCGTCTGCGGCTCTCTACACTCTATAGAAAGACTACATTCACCACAATTTAAAGTGGAACGACCCTGCGCAAAGCCACGTTTGCATTACAGGCTTACCAAATCATCTGGTCCTAACATGGGCTCCTATCTTGTAGTTTCCGCTTATGAGACATACGTGACTTCTCGCTGTCCCCTCGTATGGCACTAACTTGTAACAATTTCAGGTGGCACCAGTACTAGAACGAACTTCAAACGTTCTGATGTCATATAAATCGGTTCAGCACGCCTACGCATATATCAGCACCGCCTTCATTTGATGTCATTTTGAAAACAAACTTTTTTAGTTCACTATCAACAATTGCATTAACTGGTATTTCACTGACAGCTAGCTATAGTCAGAAAGCGTTTTTAGCGCCCCATTTCAAGCCGACTAAGAATCGATCCTCCACGACAATTTATTTATCCTGTACTGGATATATATATATACTGTGCATCGTTGCATGTACACGAATATATACAATAGACATAATTCATTTCGCTAACAGATTTAGCTTGCCGATTTAGCTTAGATTAAATAGAAGCTACTATAATTTAAAGTCTTCACTGAAATAATTATTTCGTCTTAGCTTTTTCACAGGCTCCAAGACAGATCGATTACTTACCTGAACAAAAGCTGCTTTTACTAGCTAACTAATCTCCTATAAATTTTTTTTTTAAAAAGTAAATTGATTGGTAAAAGTGATTCTTTGACAAAATTGAAACGATTCCACTTTATGTAGGAAGCTGCCATTATGAAGAAATTACCTTTTACAATAGCATAAAATTATACGATGGAATATCTATACAAATAGCACTTGAGTAGCTACATGACGTCACAAGCCAGCTGGATCCTTTGTGCGCCTCTTGAGTTGAGCACGAAAACAATCAAATCACTAATTACAGCATTAATTCGATTACCATTATTATTATTATTATTATATAGATATAAAGCTTTTCTGATATAGCAAAATTTGAATTATCTCAGCGAAACTTAAAGCTGTAGATGTAGATTCCAGCTATAGGATTGACCTCGTATTATTATTGTTGTCCTAAGACAGCTTTTACCTGGCAATTAAAACTTCAAATCTAGCTTCTCTGTGGATCAGTTTAACAGACAACACAGATCTCCTAGCATACATCGGTCTTAAATATAGACAGTTTTTACAATATGACAAGCAGAAAATTCAGCAGCCTGGTAAGCACCAAGGCATACCGAGGTGATTTCATTTCATTAATGAATATACGCATCGACAATGATTCCATCTGGTTCCTTATTCAAATCAGTTCAAGACAGAATTTGTGCATAGTATCATCTGAACTTTTTTAAACGACGTGACAGGACACGCTGGTACATAACTAACATTCTAGATGACCACACTGTATAATGTCACCTGTCGCTGGTACTCACACACGCAACCCCTATTTTGACATACATACATACGAACTTTTGATATATGTAGCTGGCAAAACAACATCGAGGGGTTCTCCCTTTTCATTCCATTCCCATTTCCACTCAACAACCTTAAAGACCTTGTCGCTGAAGTCCATTTCAATAACGTCAGTTTAATTAATAGCATCCTTGGTCTTTTGTTGGGGTTCAATTATTTAGATATAGCTAAGGTTTGAGAAAAAAATTGAAAAAAAAATTTATTACAATTATGAACTAACGGCCGTAAACGTGGGCAGTTATACCAGATGGTCAGGTTAAACAAAGGTTCATATAAATTCTGTTACCATTTGCCTAATTTTTTTACGTTGAATCATTCTTTGACGCTGAACAGTCGGCACGATACAAAATACACTCGAATTGACACATGTATGACAAAAGCTGTTAAGCTTTTTAAACGTTAATACAAAGAATAGACTCAAATTGACTACCATAACGTAAATGAATGCAATTACCGTCATCGTAATAATGGCAATCAGCTGATGAGGATCATCTAAAGACGACACTATGCTACGCCCTTCAACCGTATTTGACTAGTCAACTTTGCAACATTGTTCCTGTAAAGGTCGGCTGCACTGAGTTACAACTGTCTGAGGACGCCATTAGTGTAACACGAAGTGACGATATAAAAGCTTTGTCTGTGGCTCAGACTAAATATGTATATACAAAGAGAGAAAACTTAACCCTACTTCATTGATGGCTCCACGTTGTTTCGCTTCCCAAAGGTCTTTTTTTTCGCGCACTTTAAACATATATATATATATATATTACATTAAGTGTCACGTCTACTTCAGGCCCTCATAAAAATATTAAGAGGGATGCTTTTCTCAGTAAGATTATTCAAATGTCGGTTTCATTTTGAGAACGTAGACGATACAGACTAAATTTAAGCCAATCCATGCGAAGTACCGACAGGATAATACATGGACTACTTTTAACCAAGTTGTAATCTTAACAGCGTGCTATCTCTGAGCTTGATGGGAAAATCTAACTACCTAGCTTGTCCTCAACGCAGGTGTTGTCAAAATTTTTATTAATGTGCATTTCGGTTATACATGAATTAATTTAAGCTCACTATTTGGGGGACAGCCCTTCGTTATCTTGTATGTACAAATCACTTTTGAAATCGCTAGACCGCTGCGAAAAATATAGGCTGACAACTGCTAATGTGTACTCTTTGTAACTGTTAGCGGACTTCCTCAACAGCAGTGCCATTTAAAGCTTGCTCTGTAAATATTAGGTACATGAGTGGTAATCAAATTATTGAAAATGGGACAGGACGAAGTTCACCTTGCTGCTACGTGTCGACATAGCTGAAGTTATTGAAATTTATAGGCAGTTCTCTAATTCCATAAAGCTGAAATTTTTTTAGTGTAACTGATCCCATACCGTAGCCTAACAGTCAGCTCTAAAGAACAGTGCAATTGGCGTTCAAATAAAAAGCTGATTTTCTGCCAAATGGCACCAAACGATTTTTTCGAAACAAGTCGAAGGAATTTACCCAGCCCCCGCACTGATCCTTTGCGACCATTTTAAAAATCGAGCTCCTCAAACGCCGCTCAATTAAATCCAACTAATTAATCTTACCAGCTCTTTATTATATCTTTCCTTTGGGATCGTTCGCTAACACTTTTGTTTACCGTCGTGGCGTGTCTTTTCTGCTGATGTTGTTGTTGTTGCTTCTGTTGTTGCTCGTGGGGCTGATGATTAGAGTTAACAAGCCGACTGAGGAATCGAAGAAAGATCGTGTTCGCGATATACACGGACGGCCGAAAGAAGGGTATCCGATAGGTTGTTCTGGCCGTTGGCGGATTCGCAACATGACCAGCAACAATGACCAAGGGAAACAAGATAGCGAACAAACAGCCGCCAACCAGACGCGACTCGGGAAGCCATGTGATAACAGCCAGAGGCAATCCGAAACCAGCGTGGTACGCCCAATTAAATTCCGACCAGTCCAGCCTTTTATAGAGGGAGTATCCCATGCTATACCTGCTCAGAAAAAAAAGTGTATACAAATAAGGTACTTCTTTAGTTGCTGCGAAAAATGTTGCATTGAACACGAAAAATCTTGCTAATAAAAAAACAGCTTGTTAAAATTCGTAATGAGAAAAATTGAGATTTTGATTATATTAGCAGAGACGTTAAAAAAGTTGAATATTTTAAATAAAAACTTGAATAATATTGTAATCAAGAAGGGATAATCTTTGTATGATTTAGGCCTTTTCTGCTAATCGAAGCATATTTTTCGTATATCGAAATAAATTGCCTGTAACTCCTTATATAAACGTTTCCATTAAAGGCAATACAACATTTGTATTCACATAACAAAACACATTTGTATTCAATGAAAATTTATTTTTAGTTCATAAAATATCTGAGTATAGTATGAATAATATCTGAGACAAGAAACGATAGTCAGTTATAAAGAAACCTATATGTCTTTACATTAAACTAAACATAAATGCTTTGCCACGAATGCCGTGCCGGACTGATAATCAAAAGACAAAACCAGTATATTAAGCTAACTGGAGTTACATAATAAGCTAAAACGTTACCATTTGTATTCGAACGTATAATAACTGTTGAGCAGCGACAGGTGAAGCAATCCTAAAATGTCGCCGAGCGGGTAGATCGGTAATTTAAAAATCGCTTGCGACTGAACCAGAAAAATGGTCTGAACTATCGTAGAGAAAATTATGTCTCCCAGGACATTGCTGAACATTGATTGTGCCTAGAAAGATAACCGAGATTGGAACAAATTGATTGCCGATTGATATTAGACGAGCCTTGTCACAAGCCACTGTTAAAAAACATTTTTCGATTATCAATGCAGAATGACTGAAACAAACTGAACAACTAGATTTATTCAGGAGAGCATTTCATTACCGGTTTTAGTCCGAGAAGCCGAAACGCTTGGTCAGCGATGTCTTGAAACCAAAAACAGTTGACAACTCTGGACAGTAGCAGCAATGGCATGACCCAGAAAAGGCCAAAAGTATAGTGAAGAAGCGGCTGTAGCCAAGCCCAAATAGACCGCGCATGGTCCGCAAACACCAAAGAAAGTGCCCATTGTAAACTTGGCAGTAAGACGTGCTGTAACAGGCGTTATAATCAATCCATTAGCTCTTTGATTATTAAAGCTGTAACAAAAAAATCAATAAAACAGGAACCTACCAGACCAACATTGCTTAAAAAGAGTCAGTTATAATTTGCATCCTACGTAACTGTCGAAACTGATTAGCATGAGTAGCTTATGTGCCATGTAGAATTTTAAAAAAATCATTAACTTTTTGTGAAATTTTCTCACCTGGAAGAGAAGCAACGATAGGAGGCAAACGCCTCCGTTGAGTAGGACACACTGAATAAGACGCTGAACTATCTTCGGCCGATTTCCACTACTGCTGCTCGCCTCTGCGGACGCTTTCTTTTTGGCTTGCCGCTGCTTCTCTCGGCGTAAAGCAAGAACGGTAAAATTTTGGATGTCATTTACGACCTACCGAAAAATCACGATGATACAGAAGATGGAACATGTTTTACGAATTAATAATATAATGATAACAATATTTTTAGTTATAGAGTTTTAATATTTGTAGAATAGCATCTGATTCTAAAGGTATGGTTTATAAACAGGTTCCATAACGCGCATGTTCATTATAGAGCACGACTACTATGTAGAACAGTTAATTGAAAGGCCACGCTTTATTAAGAAAGATATCTGGCTTAATGTTTTCTCTGATAATGGACTATTGTGTTCGTGACGGCGGATTGTTTGCAATTCAGATGGCAGATTCCCTGACTAATCGCTGCAACTTCTATTTAATCCATAGTTGTTAAAAATATTCACTCGATATACTATATACAGGCGCAACTGGAAAAAGGATAAGCAATTCCAAGCTGATACCATCAGTGTGTTGTATTAAAATTCATGGAAAACTACAACGTTACCCTCGATCCATACAGTTGCCAATGAACGTTAAAAGTTGAACGCATATATTCTGATGAAAACGTTTTACTACAAAAGCTTATAGGGCAATGTTCTATAATAACAAAATCAATCAAGTACGACTGCTTTATCGAGTTAGAATAATAACAGGAAACTGATAAGCATAAGCACGGTTCAGTCGTGTTAAAAAATATTTTTGAAGTGACACCGAAAAATGATCAAACATTTTTATGAGTAAAACTGCTACAGCTCGTGTGGTGTCTAGTGGTGTTTCCGTATGATCCTAATTCCCATCTTCGCGACTAAATAAACATTATAATTGTATTGTATACTATAGAAATTGTAATATATATATATATATATATATATAAATAGTAGAAAAAAAAACTGTACTAAATCTTCAGTTCAACACCAGTTCAAAATACAGTCAGCGTTTGCAAGAAATAAAAATAAAAAATGAGCCAACAAGAATCTGTCTGCCGTAAATGAACAGCCATTTCCTATCGGCCCTGTGAAACCTGGTTCATTTTCCTACAAACGGCACAATAATTTGCTATTTTCTTGTAGTAATATAAATGCACTATAAATGCGGGAACAATCGCAAGTAATCATGAGCACATCCTCTAATAAGGCTCTCTTAATGTAATGGTTTCATCATCTGTATTTCGATAATAGATATTCATGCTCTAATTTCTTCATAGTTCATACACAGTGTACAAAATACTATCAACTACGATTGTTACATTCCAGTTTAGGTAAATTGCAACTAAAATGTTCTAATATTACAGGGCGATAGGAGAGATATTTTAATTAATAGTTAATTTCGACGTTTCGGTAGAATTCGTTTGCATGCGATTAAATTCAATCGCTATGAATTAACACGTACGGATCCGCTTGTCTTTCACGAGACAAAGATCACAAGAAGGCGTGTCAGAATTACAAACAAATGGGCCGGTAGTGATGGCACAACTATATTGACTCCCCGAAGTGAAGGACACCCACTTCTGCGTTCATATCTGTTCTTCCCTGTATCTTATCTATGGTAAAATTTAGACAGTTTAAACAATAGCAAATAATTTTACAACGAGTCAAGTGTATCAAATTTATGGACAAAATCGAAGAACGACAAGTTAACAGACAGAATACGGTTACAATATCTTACTTTTGCACCGTTTACAATTCCTATGTTGTGGTTTCATTATAATTGAATTATGTCAATTATCTAAGAGAAGCGTCATATGCAGAAACAACTTGTTCAGCTTTTTCTTGTCTCATGCCATATTTGAGACATTCGTATCATGTTGTTGTTAGCGAAAACCCCAAACACCATGTAGATATATAAAGTAGTTTGCAAATTAAATACTCATAAAATAATTGAGTATCATTGTAATTGGCGGCCATTTCTGACTAAAAAAACGTTCACTACATTTAATTGCCACTTAATATTAAATGTAATAATTGCATTGAAGAATACAAGTAAAATGACTTTTTATCTGTACGCAGTGAACGTGAAAATCGATATTAGAGCTATTGACACAATGAAATATTCTCATTACCTGTAAAACAAACACTTACCATTTGGGAAACTTCAGCAGTCCGATAGGAATCGAGCCTGACGATGCTAGCTACCCCAACGAACAGGTCGTTCATACCGTGTATGAAAAGCCTGACGATCTCCCGCACAGTAACCATTGAAGCCATAGTTGTCATTTCGAAGTTAACCCAACTAGACGCGTCAGGATGCGAACATCAAGCAACACGCCCTGCAACACTAATTAAATAGTTTGACAATAAAACAATAGAATAGAATAGAGATATACGAATAATGGTAGTAGAGGGTTGCCTTTAAGCATTTCCGGAAAACTTTCTGCCAAGTTTGCTGTTCTGTGTTCCTCTCTCTGATCAGCTGCTGATGCGCAGTCACTACTCAGGTCACTACTCAGTTCTGGCCGTTTCTAACATCAATTCTATTAAAATGATCGATTCCATATTTTCCTGAAGTTCATACGAGCTTTTGAAACCGTTTAGCTTTACATCCACGTCAACTAGTGATTTCGGCAATATGTCGGCGAATTAGGCCTCGATATGAGTGAGCAACTTCACTTGTGGGTGAAGCTTCACGGTCAATTTTGAGCAGCACTCTATGTTACCAGGCTAGGGAGACAACAACGGAAGTTTCGTCAAGACGTTACGCTTTCATTGGATGCCAATAGTATGATATGAAGACTTTTGAACTGTTTCAACAGGCTGACATACATCGCTTTCACCAGTTACCTTGGGCAAGTTCCGTTCAGCGGTCTCGTAACTAATGCTAACCGGGATCGAACAGGCTTTTTTAATCTATTCGAAGGTGTTTTAAAGGTTGTTCGACGATCCCCTGCTTCTATGCAGGTCAGCTTCATGCACCCGTGAAAACTGACCGGGCGGTTAGCAATGATTTACTGCTTGTGCTGCTGCTACTGCTATTAATGCAGAGTACACCACTTTCATAGGAGGGGTTTTTGTTTTAAAAAATCAATTTTACGATGAAGTTACCGACGAATTTCAAGGGTAGGTAGATACGCACAATTGCACTATACTGCATAACAGCACTATTTCCACAATGTTGTGCAACGCTGGGAGACGGAAACGTAGAGAAAGTGAATGTTCCAAAAGATATTTGAAGGAAGATGTGATACGTGAACACATAGACAGACCTATCCGGTGACCGACGCCCTGACCAAGCGGCAGAAAATCGAAAAACACCTATGTTAATTTTACTTCGGCGTTCCTAGTCGTACAGCTGTTATCGTTATTGCTTATACGCGTTGCCCTTTTGTGTCTGTTCGTTTGTTTTGGTGCTGCTATTGCCTCTGCTGCCAATGCGTATCACAGCGACATCAGACGGTGGCGATGCACGCTCTGTCGTGTCGTTCTTCAAACGCCGATAGTGGCACAAATTCCCAATTGAAGACACAGGACAGACAGGAAAACACAAAAACACATTCACGCTACATCGACATTAAGCGGCTATTTGATACAATTCGAACACTTCATGACATGAAATAACGCAACGAGGTCAACGGCAGCTTTTGGTACGTATTTACTGTGTGAAAAAAATAGATTTGTTATAAGCGTACCTCGCTTCTTCCTCGTACAGTTGGATCAGACACTCGCATGGAATACAGCGTTAACATATCTGACCACAGCTGCTTATCACCCGACCCTTCACTAATATTTAGTGTAGTATTTCTTCAGTAGCTTAAAGGTTCACCAGATACTTGATGTTCATTCCACACAATTATCACCCTGTCAACTTCAATAATGTGCATATAATCTACACAATCAGCGGCATTCATCGATCAATGTCCGGCAAGCAATGCAAGTATCGATCGTGGTGATCGTTTGATGTCGTATTTCTTAATCAAAATAATCTCAATACACCGACGTCCGTATGATCGAGTATAATTGGAACATATAACTGGAACGGGAACAGCTAGCTATTCAGTTGTTGTTTATTGTTATCAAGTGGTGTTTGTCTAACAATGAAAGAGGGCGCTGCGGTAGTAGTTCCTGGCCGACTGTGGCGCGCTGATTTAGAAAGTACAAGAAGTAAATGGTTATGCTAAGAAACATTATGCTTAGCTTAACTTGTAGTTCAAGAACACAGAATAGTTACACTTGAAATATCCAGTTATTCCTTGACTGTTTTTGTATGAATATATATATATATATATATATATATCCCTTCTTTTTTTTTTGCAATTTGAATAAAAATGCTTACACACGTCGTTCGAGTTGGGTGAAACCGACTAGTCTCATGTAACATTGTACAGATAAGGAAAATATTTTTTAAAGGAGAGTGACAACAAAGCGAAAGCTTTTGCATGCACAATCGCAACCAAAATGGTAGAAGTACGCCGATTTGCATGGTGCGATACATTTTTGTTTTTATTTTTAGCTTGTTTTTATCCATCATCATATGCATATATATATAGAAGACAACATACAAGTACTCTCTCATTTTTAGTCAAAAATTATTAGTGATATTACTAATTCTGCTATCTTGGTAATGGTACTAGCGGCATTGGACGCTAGCAATTTTGGCGCTACTAACAGTTTCTATTTTGCACTAATGTGACTAGTAAGGGACGAACTAATTGTGGTGCAAGTTCATTTTTATAACTGCGGCCTAGTAAAGCTCTGTCTGGGCTGTTGAAAGTTGTCTTTTTTTGGTGCTTGGGAGGTTACGGTAGATAATCGGGAAAGAGTGGCTATATCGATGCGATTTGTTGGCCGATTACTGGTTGGGTCACGCCTGCACTTCCTTCGTTATAAATACTAATGCTGTCACGTTTGTTTAACACAGCGGATTGTGATAGAATAATAGAAATAGGTTCAGAAAGCTGTGCTTCTCATAAGTAAAACATCGAGAGAGATGTTTTGTAAAAAAAAAAGTGATCATTACCTGCATCATATGTCCCAGCATTAAACCCTGCATTTATTCCGCCAAATTAAGTGTAGTGCACAAATTCAACTAGATTTTTATCGTGCCTTTTAGTTACATAAAAATTAGCGATACTCGTTATCCATTGGAGGATCTACTATCCTCACCTATAGAAACATCGAAACAATTTTTTTTTACTGCCTTCCTAGTTCCTGTTGTTATAACTTTTCTATGAATTATATACTACCTTTAAATCTGCTATTCAACTATTTAGTTTTATTTTTTAGCTCCTTTCATTTTTTAAAAAATTCTTTTCATGCTTGGTCAATCCCTAACATTTACTGGCAAAATACCTATAATTAACGCCAAACAAACAGCAGTCCTGACATGATTGTCCCGATCTATTTTACAGATGTGTAATTGTCATTATTACGATAATGGAAACTATGCCAGCCAGTTATGCGGGTTCACGAAATAACAGATAAAGGGATTACGCGAATTACCTTGACGAAGTCTGCCTTGGTTGCCCCATGTATAACAACTACTCCACAGGCCACTACAGGCCATACTACCCCACAACAGAAGCAGCAGTAGGAACGTTAATAGCAATTGACGATGACAATGACATCAACGTCGGCATCTCCAACGGAACATTAGAGAGGGACGATGAAACCGCCACGAAGGCTAGCGCTCGCTGTAGCAGCATCGGCTGCCTAATCCTTGAGATTGCTCTCCTTCTCCTAAGGTAATAACACGGAACCAGTGCCGGTGGTAGGGATACATCACACGCGGACACTACAGAACGAAAGCAAGATGGAAAAGCTTCAACAAAATCAATGTTAGGAAAGTCTATAATTATGTGCATATGCGTGTATTTAGCTAGCCTATCAAACAGGCCTTCAAGCAAGAAAGCAGCTAGCTGTCCGATCGAACGTATCTCCAATTGACTAAATCTGTGCGGAAATCTATTTGTTTCTGAGAAAACGTTCTTCCGGATCACCCAGAGGCGGCAGGGGAAAACGTCAGAATTCACAATGAGGGAACCACGAAAGAGGTGGCGGACAAAGAAATCAGAAAGACTGCAAAAACAATATGAAATGGATAATACGTTCTAGGAACTGGCTGGCATTTAGGGTAAAGTACAGGGAGGATCCGTACATGTTTTGGTAAATAATAGACAAGCGTTTTCGTGAACGACGTTTCCTAGTGGAACGAAAAATGCGAGATCGGACCTGATATAATAAGCAAGAAAACCCTCAAATCAACATTCAGTCTACGCAATGAACTGGCTATTGGACATTCTAGAAAAGACTGTGAAGATAATTGTAGAAGTAATTTGGTGGTGGAAGTAGAAGACAAGGGTGCTCTGCCAGAACGAAATACAGATTCCGAATACCGATCGACCAGGATAGTCCTTAGAATCGTATTGAACAAATTAGCGAAGAGGAGGCGGAAAAAGGTATCCAAAACAAACTTCGGAAATTTTAAGTCGTGGTTCTACTTGATGCCCGTATTCAGTTTAATTAACCGCATAAAAATACTGGAAGTAGTGGTAAAAAAAAATCACCGTATCGTGGTTATTATCAAGTAAAATATAGAACATTAGATAACAGTAAAAATGCTACAGGTGTGGTACCGATATGCTTGAAGCTTCTGTACAAAAGAGTTCCACAGCTGAAGCCTCAAGAAGACACCAAGCTAATTGCGTGCGCAGATAGCTTGTCTATCGCATTTAAGACGAATGACGCAAACGAATTATAAGGGAGGGCAAGTTTAGCCTTCGAACAGGTTGCCCGATAGATTAGTCAAAATATGGCTTGAGCTCGTACCAGAGACCGATATGAAGCGATCCTACACTAGTTGGATAAAAAAATTTATGCGAAAGTGGAACCACATAAAAACATCCAGAATAGACCCATAAGTTTACCTCTTATTGCAGGATGTGGCGTTAACAAAAGCAAGAAAAGATATCCTGTGACAGTCTGACACAGGCACTGGCTACACACAGATACCTTCAGAGATACCTTTTAAAGGAGACTTTAAAACTTAGTAAGATATATTGCCCACATGCAAAAAAGAGTAGCTGAGAGAAGTAATAACAAACTTAACAATGGATCTTCAAAGACTTGGCAGTACAGACCTGTGGGAAAGATGAACATTAAATACATAACTTCCTTAAAACACTACGTAAGAGAACGTAATGTACATAAATTGCGTTCCCGCGTAACGGGAGCGACGTGACCATCAATAATTGCACGTACTAGTGTTTCATTGATGACGAAATGTCCCTCTATGCTCCATCTCCTTACAAAGTTAGATTAGCATTAAGTTCAACAGGGTCTTCTTTTTCTGCCCTTCCGTACAGGCCCGTTTTTTGACTGCGGTTTGACTGTGGCTAGACAGTACATAGAGTAACTTAAGCTACTGTAGTAAACACAATAAGTTACTGTAATGCCTAATAATTTAAATTTCGAACATTAAAGAATGAAAAAAATCTCTGAAAACACTGACAGTGCTGCAATTTTATCCTTCAGAACGGGCCTCAGATGGCTTGTTTGAGAGAAGCGGCGGTAGGATACGCCATCTAAGCGGACAAAGCCGAACGAACCTAAATTAAAATTTTGGGCCACCACTCAGTTTTATTGTTTGTGATCTACCCCGAAATTAAAACTTTGCGATAAATGTATGTTGTTATATTTGATAATAACAGACACTGATATATGTTGCAAGTATTAATATTTCAAAAATTGAACAAGTGCCAAAGTCGTTTCTCTTTTCTGGTGGGTTTTTCGACCTAATTAAGACGTCGCCCAGAATGATCTTGAGCCTGAAATAAAATGTCTGTAGGCACGAGCAGCGTTGTACTGCGTACCCTTAAGATCCGCTGCACCTAAATCGAAAATACTGAGCATAATAGAGTAATTAATACAATCACTCTAATGAACGAAAGAGTTCGTTCTGTTCGTGCATACAAACCCAAATACAGAAGAAAAAAACTGATGTAGAAACGCGGCACCGTTATCTCAGTTTACATGAAGCTAAAAATTACAAAAAATGACCAGTAGCATGGAAATTGCAGTTACAATGGAAGCTACGGCTAGCAAACGCAATTTACAGACCAAATTTGTAGAAATAGACTATACAGACTTACGACCCAAATAAAGGACAAATGAACTACCCGGTCAGTCGTCATAAATCACTACGTGAATGATTAATAAATTCAAGTCTACGGTGAACGCACTACGGGTACAGTTTCGAAACGGAGATCGATCAGATTCATGAACCTGTGCTTTTTCTCCTCAGATAACGTCATGTTGTCTTCTAGATTGCATCTAAGTTGCTTGGTTCATCTGCTATTCGTTGGCATTAGAATTATTTTGCAAAAATACGTTAGGGAAGTTTAGGAAAATAATAAAAAAAAAAAGTTGAAAATTAGCGTTAAAAAAAGGGAAAAACAAGAACTGGACCATATGAAAAATTATATGATATCTTAGCAAGTAATTATATTTAATAAGTACTTTACACAGACAACTAGTGATTGGAGTGACGAGTGGCGTTCAAAACGACATGTGTCGGCGAAGTCTACAGCTAAAAAGCATCTAGCTAGCTGGTAGAAAAAGTAACAGCGAAGGAGGTTATTTCTGGATCTGCCCGAAACATCAAATGCCAGAGCTTAGCAAACTTTTATTTAAAATGTGTGTATTTTGTCTTCTATAATTCGGGTCTCGGAACTGATGTCCATATACAATGGGAATCTTGAAGGTCAAAAAACTGAAGCGGAGAAGACGCCGAACATTTAACGAAAGGTTACCAGTAATGAAAATAATAAGTACTTTAGAATATAGCTGGCATATTCACTATCAGGTGCCTTTAAGGCTAACAATAGGCCCTTTTTGTTATACCCGCCCGCTTCGTTTTATCATTTCCCTTACTAATTAGGAAGTTCGCAGTGACTGATCGAATTCCGTTAAGCGTGTTATACGTAGCCCACCAATAACAAAAGTTGGAAAAGTATCTAATCTATTCTATGGTTGTTTCCCGTCCATCTTGTAGCTCCCAGGACTCGGAGTTTTAATGCGATTAAATAACTTCGTCAAAAGCTCTGACTTCATTCAAAGACGAGCAATTAGATTTA